TTGGAGACACTACAATATATGGCTGCCAACCGATGTCAGTGGCGTTCTTGTTGTCAGTTTCTGTCCAGATTGCCTGAATGAATGTCTGGAGGTGTAGGCACCTCGGAATGATTGTGTTAAGCTAGCACTAAGTCCCTCCCCCATCCACCTTTATTCTTTTCTTTACAATAAGGCTTTCAAATAAGTCATGGCTGTACGGCAGTGAAGCATTGGTGTTGAGCACTGATGTGATGCTGTCGTTGATGATGATGATGATGATGATTTCAAGGGACTACTCGGTGGAAATGCATTTGACATCCATGTCAAACACCAGGAAGATAAAAGATTGACTCGCCTACCTGTTTTGATTACTACTAACAATGACTTAAGCTCTTAAGTACTTGAAGATGTTAAAGCCATCAAGGAACGGTACTTTTGTTTATAAATTGTATATTCACGTAAGCAGTGAAAAACTACCACTACCACCATACAAACTATGTACCTGTCATTTTCGCAATTCGTATTTTAAAAATCTCTAAAATTGTACTATTTTGGTCCAGTCGCTGACTTCTATTTAAACCCTACCACAGGATGGGTAGTTCATTGGATGGTTAATACAGAAAAACGGGACGCCGCCATCAACAAGTTTACCTCCGACATATTACTCTTTGCAGGCGACATAGGGAACTGTAACCTAAAGCCATATTCAACTTCTAGGCTATCTTCGGATACAAAGACGAACGGGACAGAGTGGAAAACGTGAAATTGGATCCAAGACAATGAGTTCCATATAGCCACCATGTTCCGATTTCTAGTGAATGGATGGGGATCTTCACCAGTAGATTCATTACCACACATGTATTTCTATGACACCTACATAACTGCAAGACCAAGACAACAAGAACACCTAAGACACCTGATTAGAGACAACGTCACACACACCTTCGAAGGACTCGGTGTATATAAAATATTAGATCACCTGTATAAACTTTCCAAAAACAGATAAGAAATACTGCCTTACCAGGAACACCGATTGAACATCCTGGAAACCCGAAGACAAACATGTGGAAGAATAATTCCCTAGCCAGACAGTACAACTCCTACTCCGTAGACTACCCAAGTACAGACACCTAATATAAAAAGAGAAGAAGAGGATAGAAAGCCCACAACAACACTCATAACAACTACAAAGGAAACTAAAAAACTGGTAGTTTCTGTAGTTGTAGGCTTAGTCTCTTCTACCTTTTTATAAGCTTCTGTGGAGGTTCGGAAGGAGGTCCTTGGTCGGTTTTGGTGCTACAGTCGGTAGGTTAGGAATTTGTGCGGGTGGATGTGGGGTTGTTCTTGGGTAGTTTTTGGCTCTAGTTTCTAACATCACGAGTAAACCCCCCGGGTGGTTTCATCTTTGATCTGTTACGGTATTCGTTTCTCCATCCAGATTTATTATATATGTGAATGGAAAGCCCATAGGATTTACAGAACAACCTGGCAAGCTGGCGGCTCTGATACGTGGTTTGCGTCGTTCCGGACGAATAGACTGCTTCGTGTCGGTTCACATCAAACAAGCGCACCGTTGCGTTCATGTGGTCAGTGATGGAGGTCGTCTATGTAGACCTTATATCGTCGTGGCTAACAATCGTCCACTCGTTACGCAAGCCATGTTGGAAGTAAGTCCCCTGTAAGGATTAATGTTGCACTTTTTTTCTTAGTTAAGCAACTTCGTAGTCCTAACTTATTCCTTGCTCCTTTCTGAGTTAAAACCTTCCAACTGAGCTATTCCTCTTTTAGGCTGCACGAGGCACCTCTCCATGGTTTGCCATTCATCAACAGCAGTACTTGGCTGATAACGCCTAAGAATCTATCAATTTAGCCTTCTACACACTTTACTATATGATTCTCGCATGAATGTCACCCGGTTCTGGTCGGATTTTTTATGTGAAGAATACTGGTAGTCTTGAACGCATCTTACACCAACATCCACTACCCGTTTCGATCTAATCGGAGAGTTAGGTTGGACAGGGCTTCGTGGCTTTCTGATGATATTCTGGCTACGTGTATCGCCTTAGCTACTTGCAAGTAGCCTGTCAATTAAATCAATCGAACAGGTTTACAGATTTACGGTGCTCGCGCCATGAACGCACAGTAAACCGCCCAGGTGCCATTGGACGTTGACTAGTTATCAAGGTCCGATTTTTCTTCCGACCTGACTAGTGTACCGTTTTCTCAAGAAGAGTGTATGTGAAATACACTCATTTGCAAACAAGAGTGTTTGTGCTCTAACACTCCGTGTGTTTGTTTTGAAATCTCTCAAAGTCACACTAAGCCGTTCTGAGACTTTTGTGAGCCCCGGATTATTGTCAAAGATTATTGAAGTCAAGTGTTAAGTATCACTATAACAATTTTATGGGATGAAAACATTGTGCTTGAGAGTAGTATCGAACGCCTTTTGAGCACCCGTCCAATAGTCGGTACATCCAATGCACGCGTTGCAGAGAAACGTTCACCTATCTTTCATTTGTAGCTCAATTCACGAATGACTGCGTTCGTTACTTTCAAGGCGGTTGGTGTGTGTATCAGGTTGGTCGAAGAGCACTGATTCTCTCCGTCAATATACTGTGGTCAGGTCACTAGTATAAGCAGTCAGAAGAAAGTTCTTGGGATGCAGCTATTTTACTTCAAAATATTCGGATTTATGTTCGTTTGGATAAGTACAATGCATGGTCAGTCCATCGCGAGCGTGATAGCCCCATCCCTAAATGATTTTACTGGCCGTCATCAACACAGTTTGCGAGTAGAGGAGAAAAGCTCCGGCCACGCATGACTCCATTTGATTAGATTTAGGTTCATTTTTTACCATAGAATAACCGAATATAGATCGATCCACGAAGTGAGCAGCCAGTGAACGAGTGCCTTTCCTGCAAGGGTTGTAAAAATGACTGACTAGTTATTTCCCATGCGTATGTCCATGCCTAAGTTCATTTTCTTGGAGTTTTCAAGAATACATGAAGATTCCTCTGAGCGATCAGCAAGATTCAGACAATTTCGCTATTTCCACGCTTTTAATGTAAATGGGAAAATGTTTTATGTTTTTTGGCTCGTGAAATGATTAAACGAAATGCAAAAAAAAGATACTCAGTAAAACCCAAAATTTTATGGCAGCAAACTACATGTATGTAGAGATACCACATTGAACAAGTCTGAAGTATTGATGCTTTTCCTGTCTGCTTATGAATATACGAATAGAAACTCCTTAATCAATGTGCACTTTTCATCCAGGATTTGGTGCATAACGTCTTGAGCTGGGATGACTTTCTAAAAAAGGGCGTTATCGAGTATCTGGATGCCAACGAACTGAATGACTGCCTTGTTGCCATGGACGAGTCCTACCTAAGCGATGGTAACAAGTACACACACATGGAAATCGATCCTGCAACGATTTTGGGCGTTGTGGCCGGGCTTATTCCCTACCCAGACCATAATCAAGTAAGGGCCATCTTGTTTAATTGGGTTTATTTTCCACAAACTATGTCACTAGACGTCCCTGTACTAGTTCCTGATCGGTCTTGGAGCGTATTTTGTTGATAATATCTTGTATGTTCCATCTGCATGCTTGTAGTTTTAAAAAGACCCACATGGTTTTTCCAAAATAGTGAGAGAAAGAAGTGTTAGAATGAGAACCACAAATTACTGGAGCGCGCTTATTTGGTGAGGTAGAAGAGATGGCAGCGGTGAGCAGTCGCTTTGCTTTCCCACTCTGTTACATACGGATTGACCTGGCGGATGTCAGAACATGACCGCTATCGGACGATATCTACGTCCTGGTGATACACTTAACCCTGAACAAACCTTATTTGTCGTCCAATGTCACTTTGAGTTAGATTTATACTGGCTGCCCGAATATTGGTTTGGAGGACCACATTGTATGTCATTCGTACTTGGTCAGCTTACTTCATTCACCCCATCTTCGGTTTTCCGGTTATTCTCTCGCTTCATAGGTTACGCAGGTTAGGATATGTACTCCGGATGCCAGAAGACCGTTTGCCTCGCAGAGCTCTTTTTGCCCAGCCTTGTTTTGAGCGGAAGCGCCCGAGAGGTGGACAGCATACGGCCTGGCAACGAAGTATGGAAACACTAAACGGTAAACTTAGTTGGGTTGACAACTGCAGCCTCTCTGGATGGGGACCCGGGACTCATCTCTTAATTTCCGGTGGTGGAAACTGTAGCAGTTGCAACCAATGTGCCTATGCTACACGGTTTATAGCTGATGAATTGAATTGGTTAACATTTTCTATAAGGTTTATCGTGAAATATTTTATCAACGCGTAGGCACTGTCATACTAACAAAATTGTCAGAAATGAACACATCGTCGATTGGAATGACAGAACGCCTCCACTTCGCAAGTACAGAACACGGTAAGTGCCTTTATTCTGTGCATTCAGGCTTTGATCATGGCTGTCTTGGTTGTCGCCCATTAGAATGGTCCAGATCGTTTTGAACTCCTGCTACCTCCGAAAGCTGTCTGTCACTCTTCAGTAGGAAATGTCCCGTGTGAACTTCTTCGGCCGTTCATTAGGAGTCTTGGTTGCGGTTATTCACGTAATGTCGTAATATCTATCGCAAATAAGTTCCCTCACCACTTGCGCTTTTCTACTCACAGTCTCCTCGAAACACCTACCAATGCGCTATGGGTAAACAAGCCATCGGAACGGTAGCGTTGAACCAACAAATTCGCTTCGACACACTGCAGTATCAGATGGTCTATCCACAAAAGCCGCTGGTACAGTCGAAGACAATTCAAATGATGCACTTTGATGAGGTGAGAACTAAGGATGCTATTGACTTTTCAGCACATACAGTTGTAGGGGTAAGCATGACGTGTCATGTCATCTACCTTAGTAGGTGCTCTTCGACTTTTCCGGTGATCCTTGTCGTTCGCCTTCCTTTAAACTGTTTCACTGGTGGTCGTCAGATCTACTGCCATGTAAAAATGGTACAATGAAGTAGTAAATATCGATTCCTTGATAGAGTCATTTTAGGTTTCACTTTGAACCTAGGTGATTGATGCAAGATATGCGGCTGAGATACTATCTGAGTATACGCACCCGAAGTCCTTTGTTAAGTCGAGAAGACTGTCGTTGTATTCGGTATGGTTCTGTAATAACAATAAGTAAACAACGGTTATTGATTGAATAGAAGTGTCAATGGTTAATACATAGCAATGATTCAATACGAACGTACATTCAAGATTGTACCACAGGTCTTTGAGCAAATCCGACGTAAATGTCAAGGAAAATACAGGTGAAGTTTATACTCCAAGCAGTGTCTGAAATGTGGAATGAGAGTCATGAAGTGTCTGTAGGTGTGAAGGAATTAACAAACGTTCACCGAACGTTACAGTCATGTTGACCTGTTCGTCATCTGTTATGTCCTTGCATTTGAAAGCAATCTAAAGGGGTTGACTTTCGCCTCTTCCTCGTCACCAACAATTCCACAGTCGGTATTTGAAACCGGATGAATCTAGCCTTAATTGTCGGCCTCTTGGTGCTCAGTCCCTGCATTCTCGGCAGAATCGATTCGCACTTACGTTTGAACAACAGATCTCAAAGCAAAATTATCAGCTTACGAGCTACCGGGATTTATGTACAATGAACTCTGATGAAAACAATAATCCACTCTACTTTTACCGGTGCGATTCGAGGTTGCGTGAACGGCGACACACATCATCTACGAAAAGAGCTTCAGGAAATAGTGCGTGTGAAGTTGTGCGGCTCCATTACTTTTCGACGACAACGTGACGTCTAAACTGGCAATCTCCGATAGCTTAAGCGTAACTCAGCAATATCCCTTGACGTCTTTTCCGCTGAGCTAATCGCTTGTCACTTCTCCCTCGAGGTACAATAGCATTCTTTTTCTCATGACGTGGTCGCCTAAGGACCTGATCTGTTTGATCGCATTCTTACCCATATGGCTAAGCGTTCATGGAATGAGTGAGTTCACATTACTTGTGGGTGTTTGAAGTATTTGCTAGAAAAAATAGGCTAGTTTTACTCACGCTCTAGGCTAGATTTCGTGATTCATTGTATTACACGTAAGCTACCGGGGCATTATTTTTACGCGAAGCTTAACCCTCAGGCTCACTGGGCATTATAAGGAATGCATATTACTGATAACCAGTAGAGCTCAACTCGACTGTTCTATGTTTTGGTTCACTATAGCTAGGCAGAAATCAAACATCATACCAAAAGTGTTCACAGTCTCCAATTTCTGATAATGTGAAATTTTTCGGAGAATAGTAGAATCGGAAATTCCCGAATTTTGTGGTTATTCTTAGGGTTTCGGGACTTTTTTCATCGATTCAGTTGAAATGGACCGAAATGCTGTCTTCAGAATAAGAGGTCCAGATTTCGATGGGGAGGAGGGCAAATTGAAAGGGCAATTGTATATAGAAAGTGTCCTTGCCACGTTAGTGTTTAGACCAAACTGCGCAGTCGCCTGTTTAGTCTTCAGGACACGATCCATGTGGGCCTATAGGTTGAGATTAATCTTGGCGGAAAGCACCTCACTCGGGCTGACCGCATGACCCGCTCGAGTTTGTTTCTATTGGTACCTTTATCACGTCTGCTGCTGTGTTTTGGCAAATGGGATGGAGTGTTCCTAGTTGGAATCCGCGTAATTGGGTCACAGTAACTCTTGACGGCGTTCGTTCTGAGAATGAAGATTTATGTGCAATAGTAGACAGGTCACGTGAAAATTTTGTGGAAACCCTTTATTCGCATGCCCCCCCCCGAACGAAGGAGATATTCTGTCAATTACTTGTAGTGGACAGCCAGAAGAATGGTTCGATGACTTTCAGGTTGTTACGCTAAGAACCTACAATCTCCCAAACGTAATCGTTTTCCCCGTTCCCATGTGGTGATTCGAATGCGTTCAATGCGCGCTTGTGGATAAGTAGTAGCCGGCTCGCTTCACATGTGAATTGATTCTCGTATGGCTAAGGTTATACACTGCTGATATTGAAGCCTAATAACCAAAGTATGGTCCCATACTTCCCTCCTTGTCATGGGCTAACCACAACAATTTTGCCGGGGTGACAGAGAGAGACTGCTCAACCGAAATTGGTTTGGATACAAAAAAACTAATCCTCTTAATAATGAGTTTACCTGCATTGGGTTTGCAAGCAGCCTGGCTAGTCATCACCGCTAGACACTCGTCTATCCAGATGCAGTATAAACAAGGTATCAATGATGTTTTGGCAGTTTAGCCGTCTCCATTTTGGATCTGAAGTGGTCCGATGACTACATATAAGGGCTTCGAGTATCCTTTGAATCCGGCGGCATCACTGGTTATTCCAGTCCTGTGGTTTAGCCTATTCGATGTGGAGCGAAATCAACTTATCTCTTCGTATGCTTCTTCACCAATCTCTGCCAATCATCGTCGAAACTTAATGCGGCCCAGTCCCCAGATAACATGGGAATTACTTCCCTATTGTTTCCGAGACAGATATTCGGATAAGTGTACCATCTTTCCCGACGGCGGAAAAATATTGCCAGGGATTCATGTTCTTTCTGAATGTTTGCAACCGAACCAGCGCGGTGTGTTTTATCTCCCCTATGCTTGAGAAACTCTTTTCCCCTCCGAGTACACTGAAAAGCCCAGACTCTACATAACTATTGGTTTGGGTTAGTGCTGCGACATCGAAACTCCGTAATAAAACACTGTTAGTTCAAAGTTGAATACTAAGTGACCCGTAAATTGGTGGGAACCACATCGCAAGTTTAGCGCGACCGTTGAATTTCCTTTTGTTGACTGCCAGAATTCTTTTGCAAATTCTTCATCTTAATTCTTTTGTCCTTTTCTCCCAGCTACCAGCTGGACAGAATGCGATTGTGGCCATTATGTCCTACTCAGGATATGATGTTGAAGATGCACTCATTGTTAACCGGGCTTCTCTGGACCGTGGCTTTGCTCGTGCTTGTGTCTACCGACGTGCCGGAGTGCACTTAAAGATGCATGAGAATGCCGTTTACGACCGTCTGATGGGGCCCAGTGTCGACCGAGGTAAGTTCTCTCAAATATTTCAACCCTACCCTGAATCTGCAAATGCCGTTGTGCTATTTGGAGTTAGTAGGAGTGCTTTGAATATATGTTCTCAACCACTGGACCAGTCTTCCAAAGTGACTTTATCGCACAACTCGCCCAAACAGCTGGGGTTATCAGTGGAGGTGAAGAGGGGAGCCTAATTTACAACGACGACTGAGCTCAAAATACAGCGCTGGAACTGTTCCTGAATTGTTCTTTAATTCATTGCTGTTCTGTTCTTAATACCCTGATTTAGGATCATTCTGTATTGGGGACAATGAAGTCCCATCGCTGTCCGGTTGTTTTTCTATCTTTGGTTTGCCACAACTGAGGAAATTGAGGTTTGTTCTTCTGATAACTGTGCGTGGTCCGAATACATCCACAATCTTTTTGCTACTCGTTTCTAAGTCCTTATTTTTTCACTTGATCTCAGTTATTGATAAGGTAGTGATGCGATAGATAAACGGCCTAACTAATGCGTGTGCTCGTACGTCTCATCGTACAATGTAAGTGTTTTTTTTCTTTTTTCGGACACAGAGTAGGAGTAAGCCGTGCCTATCAGTCGCATCGCTCTGTGATCCCTGCGCACCTGCTCAGTCGGTTGTTTTCCACCCTTTATTAACATCACATTGCACATTCCCTACGAACTGAATGTATGCAGCAGATGTTGAAATGGTTTATCACAGGTTTTGACCAGTTAACCCATTATCTTCAATACCCGTCCTTCAGAAACAGGTCTGCCACGACGGGGCGATGAACTTCTACAAGCGGACGGCACAGCCTTTGTTGGTGCACGCGCATCCGACCGCCAGATTTTGATAAATAAGGAAATGCCTGTGGTCAAAGTAAATGCTGCACAGGACAACGCCGGTCAGCTCGGTCTGCACGGTGGGACTCATGAATCAATGGTACGCATCCCTGCATGTTCGTTTTATTTTGTCTGCTCAACCATAGCTCTACCGATACCTGAGTTCTGTGCTTTGGTGTGACGATAAATGCAGTGGCTTTTAAAACCCAATTTTCCGGCTGTTATAGGCCACCAAATCAATGAAAGCTTGTCAGTACATTCTGCTTACACACACTAACCAACTGTGCCTTGACGTATCACATTACACTAGGGTATCTGTTCCCTTTGCTGTTACTTTTATACTGGTGGCTTGACTTTGCAAGCATAATTACTTGGACGAACTAAGTCGGCAAAATTGGCAGGCCGGTAGTTAGTACGCCGCCCATGATCTCGATTTGTTTTTGCAATGTAGCCAACCTTAATCTGCTTGTCGGAATTTAACCATATTCTTGGTCATATTCTCCACAAGGTTCTTAATTGTGTGCGTGAATTGAGTAGGTTACTTATAGAATAGCGAGACTGGAAATTGTTCCCTCAAAGGACCTACGAGCCGTCAGAGATATGATATGATATGATATGATTGATATGCAGATATGTCTCTATTCGTAGCTGCTGTTCGGGCCTTTGCATAGACCTCAAGACCATTGGTTTGCACAACGTTACTGCACAGAGTACGGAGGTTTCCTTATAATAATCATGACGGACATCTGAATTTCGCGCGTGGGCTGTAAAGATTCGCGTTGTTTGGCAAGACCTGTGGATGGGATACAAGCCACTGAAGGCATAACGACCGTCGAGTTTTCCCCCATCCACAGAAATTTAGTTTCCTTGCCATTATTCCTGTATATTTTCAGCATCCTCTTGGGCTAGTTGACTGTGGACATCCCGTATGGTAATATATGCTCGTCTTGGAAATCTAGGCCGAAATCTTCACTGCGTCACCTTGCAGCGTGTGACCCTGATCATCTTGCATATCTCACACGTATACCATTTATTATAGGCTCCTACCTCCAGTCTAACAGATGATATTCTGGGAATGCCTGCACTTCAATTTCCTTTAAGTTAACATAACAAGCCTTATGTTTACGACGCATGTGTACACCGTAGCATGGCGTCATCATGTTCATGTGAACTCATCCACGAGGACCTATAGTAATATCTATAATGAGTAGAACAATACACACTTCTGTGCACAGTGGTTTGTGCCTTTTTTGATCCTTTCGATACCGTAACCGTGTTGTTAATGTATTGAGCCATGTTACATGCTCCAGCTGTGCGTTTTTTAGATTAGTTTTGCATGCTGAGGTCTGCATTTTGCCTTATTTACCGTGCTTTTGCGCTTTGAATTTACGATAAACTTGGAGCTAGCAATCTGCGGATTCATTTATTACTACATTTGTTTCTGGATTTATTCATTTGAAGTGAGCGCTATGGAACTAAATTAAAGCTTCTAAAAAACTCACCTAACTGACGTAATCTATAAAATTCGGGTCCATGTCAAATCTGTGAGTTGACAAGGACTTTCGAATACATTTGGTTTGGTATCACTAATTGTCGTCTTGAGATCGATTTTTTGCGCACGTTAGCTTGTTTCCGCTTTGGATTACGTTATTCGTTTCTGCTGGTTCGAATCTCGAGCCACTTTTGCTAAAATTAGAGGAGATTACTAATTGGTGAAAATGGTCTGTACGAAATGCTAGTGGAGTCACTCTTGTTTCCTAAAACCTACTGGGGTCCAACAACAAAGCGACCATTACTATTTACGACAATGACATTCCTTAGGTATGCAGTCCGTGTGCGTCGGCGGGAAGAGTTTATTGTCTTTCCTATGTCGCAATAACTGAACTTCTCCAGGGATACAGAAATTCGAGGATGGATTTATGCGGAATGTAGTCGAACTCATGCCCGAATTATTTTACTGTTACAACCATCGGTTGACCACTGTGTTTCTATTGGCTGGTCATGTAATAAACTTCGTCAACTGTGACACCTTTTCGGTACCTAGCTACCACGCTCACAAAGGAAACACAAGGGCTGCGATACAGCCAGCTTGTAGAGGAGCAGTCGAGATGTCGGGGCTGGGTTGGAACCACGGGCCTTCCGGTCTAAAGTGGTTTTGAGAGCACTTCATGCACTCATTAATTACGATTGTAGATGCATGCAGCTTTTCGTTGCTGTATATGGACGGTATCATCTTACTGCAATCTCCCCCTTAAGAATAATTTGAACTGTTAGGAGGAACAGTCTTGATTTTGTCGAGTATCCTAGCGATAAGCTTGCTTATCGTTAACCGTTTGTTTCTGAGAATTGACAAACCATCCTTAAAAAGAGGTATGCACTTGGCGATGGTTTCTTGGGCATATAGACTTGGCCGTGCGTGCAGTGCTGTGAGGAATCTAGATGAATGCCCTTTTGCATGCGGTTATTCTCACAGTCTTCCTACAATACTACCAAATTGATCCAGCTGAGATAATTTCTGTTTGCAACACTGCACAACCCCTGTTTCATCCTTCCACTATCTTCAGCCAGTCACAGCTGACTTATTCCTGGTTCCCTCTTAATGAGTCACATGTCCGTCAGTTTTCCTCAATTGTGGTGCCGCGTTCGATTGAAATCAAGATGTGAAACTGTTCCCATGTTGTCAGGGTGACTAGCAACAACCATTTCGCACGGGTTGTACGCGAGGGCAATGAAATTTCTGTTCTGCCAGGCTGGCTTGAACTCCTGTGATTTTCAGTGTTATTGCACATCTGAGCTCAAGACAGCTCAGCCGTTGGGGTTCGAAACTGCCGACAGGGAGGTTTGCGTTTCGATATATATTATTGACAACAATTTGAAATGGTGACCTTTCAAATGCAAACTATAGAGTATATCTTTTATACTGTAATCCCTTGCCGAGTAAGTCCCTCATTTGGTCGATCAAAGTGTTGGCTGTTTGGTTTTATGTGATTTTTTCCTTAAGAGAGAATTGCGACGGGTCGAAATTTCATACCAGATTACTTGTCTTGGTGGAGGCACTTTCTCGTGGTGGAAGGGTATTGTACATCGCTGCGAAGCTGTTTATGGGCATTCTAGATCTTAATCAAAATCCTCATTCGGGTGTGCCTTTCATTACCAAATTATAGTTGATTATATGGTGGAAGCCCATTATTAAAAAGCTTCAGTACAACACAAACAGACCCTAGCAGCATGTCATCCTTCTAACTGCGAAGGATGCAAAGCCTTAACCCCATTCGTTTACCCTGTTTCTGAATGCCAGCGATGATCTTTGATAAGCCAGAACGTGAGAAATCACAGTGCGTCTATCTGTATCTCAACAACTAGCTGATTACACTTGGAAAATTATGCTACTCTACGTTCCATGTTTATCTGCATCCCGTTCAAAAACAGACGGAATTTCGACGCTGTCCAGCTGATTACAAAGGAATCGAACCATCCTATGTGGAGAAGGTTATGTTTTCGACGTCCGAAGGAAACCAGGCAGTGGTCAAAGTCCTCCTCCGGCAGACACGCCGCCCGGAGATTGGTGATAAATTTTCTAGTCGCCACGGACAGAAGGGCGTTGTAGGTCTGATTGTCCGGCAGGAGGATATGCCTTTCTCAATGCATGGTCTTGTTCCCGATGTGATAATGAACCCTCACGGATTTCCGAGTCGCATGACGGTAGGTGCGCCGTCATTGATGTATTTTCATATTTTCATTACTCATCCCTCGCTTACATTTGCGGTTACTAAGCGCCAATGCCTTCGGGCTAGCAAGAACTGGAATGTCAGTGGTCGCGCGCAGTAGAGCTACCTGGCTATCATACAATCAAGTGATATAAACCAGGTTTGGTGATGCTTACCAAGGCTTTCCATTTGTATGAATACTTAATGTTACCTTGACATCCAAATGTAAGAATTGACCACCCATAGCTTTACTTCAAGCGTGTGAATAACATGAGAGGCCATTCACACTAGCCCGGAAATGCCATTTCCAGTACAGGCTATCAAACGCCCCGATCTTTTCGGCCCTATGCTGACCCATGAATTTTATGTGCTCCGTCGTGATTCATTTGCTCTGTTTAACATTGCAAGTGAGTGCTCATCGGACATTAAATTAATGATTTATGTTGTCTCGCTGTACAGGTCGGTAAGCTTCTGGAGCTTCTCGGCAGTAAGGCCGGTGCAATTGAGGGACGTATTCGTGATGGGTCGGCGTTTTCCGGAGATTCCGCGGAGTCCCTATCTCGCGTACAATCGAACATNGTCTCGCTGTACAGGTCGGTAAGCTTCTGGAGCTTCTCGGCAGTAAGGCCGGTGCAATTGAGGGACGTATTCGTGATGGGTCGGCGTTTTCCGGAGATTCCGCGGAGTCCCTATCTCGCGTACTAATCGAACATGGTCATCACTATCTAGGGAAAGAGGTACTGTATTCTGGTGTCACCGGTGCCCCGTTGGAGGCCTATATTTACTTTGGTCCAGTGTACTACCAGCGACTGAAGCACATGGTTATGGACAAGGTTAGTTTGTTCGGATTCGTCCATTTTGTTTGTCAAACTGATGACTCCGCGCCCATCAATCTTTAATTTTGCACTATCACCTACCTTCAATGCTTCTGTTGCTGGCTGGTAACCGGGATTGTATGTGATCTGATGTCCAGCACTCAATTTGCCCCGCAGAACCTTCTTTAGGGTTCTGCTTGATTACGCAAAACATGGGTTTGAACTCTAAACATGAATAACAGCCGCGCCCCCCGAAGCGTACGTTGATCAGGTCTTCTTGGATAACGTGAAACCGATCCGGACCTATCGCGCAAGCAAATGCACCATGACAACTGCGCAATCCATGCCTAACAAAATTTCAATAAGGGCGTGACTTGCAGTTTCCTCATCGTTCCCATAACAGAGTTGCATGCTGTACCTAATTTTCCGCAATGGTTGTACGAACAATGTACATGGTCTTCCCATTCTAACTCACTAATATTGTTTACCACCCTGGAATTTTTCTTACTGCTTCGTCTTCTAACATCCTGTCAATAATTTGCAGGTGCATGCTAGATCCCGTGGTCCAGTGACTGCCCTTACTCGCCAGCCAACCGAAGGCCGAAGCCGTGAAGGTGGTTTGCGAATTGGTGAGATGGAACGTGACTGCTTCATCGCCTATGGAACTTCCCAACTCCTTGTCGAACGTCTGCTAACCTCCAGTGATGTGTACGACGCCTGTGTTTGTGAGAAATGTGGACTACTAGCCACCTCGCGTGTTTGGTGCCAGTATTGTCGAAGCAGCCGGCAAGTCGTGACGGTTCGCATGCCATATGCCTGTAAATTACTCTTTCAAGAATTGATGTGCATGCGAATCTTGCCACGCTTGTCTCTAGGTCACACCTACCGAGATCGGCATTGATCGTGATGTATCTCTGTATATTTGAATACCACCTACTTTCTGAAAGTTCTGTCTTTGTTAAAGTGTTCATTCCAGCGGTTCGTCTCGCCAGAATACCAACTGCTACATGTGAAAGGGGGAAAGCCCTTCGCTAGGAAGTTGTTGGTTAGCAGTTACAAGCCATTAGACACGGAAGTAAACATCTCATCTACATTCTCAAACGTCCTCTTAGACTTCCCTGGGCGTTCGTTAACTACTAAACAATAGCAAACGAAATCGGAGATGCGGTTCCATACTTTCTGCAATAATCTTCATCTTTCGTCAGATACGGGGGCAGAGCTTGGACACCAGAGCATAGACTACTGACATAGTTCATTAGTAGCATACACTGTTACACATGTAGCATTTGTTACTCCTGATTCATACCAGTACAACATCATCTCGACTTCCCGAAACATACCTAGCCAAAGTTTCCCGAGTTAAAAATTCCAAGCTGAACAGCGAAATGCCTAATGTTTCCGGTATCTTGCGGCCAGGGAATTACATGGGTCAATTAGGGTTCAATAGTTAGCCCTGGAGGTAGATTTCCAAGTGTTTTGTGATAACAAAGAGGTGTACATTCAGACGAAACTTCTGGTGAATGGCTATTGAGGACGAATGGTTGCTATTCCTCGAAGAACACATTGAAGAAGAATCTGCGCAAACAAGTTTGTGGTGTGTGAATCCCTTTTCCCATAGGTGGCCTTCCAAGAACGTTGCTGTAGGTTACTCGTTCTGCAGCAACAAACAGACCCATGTAACATTACAACCGATGAGTGAGTATCCGATTTTGCTGAGTTAAACATGCATATCAAGTCACTGCCAACGGACCGCTCTCAAGAACAATGAAACAGTTATTTTGTCAAGCAAATCTACTTTTATTTTCGTATAGACGCACTAAACTACTCAGAAGGTTGCTGAAAACGTCGACATCCAAACGACCGGTTTCGCCCTTCTTGGGGCTCATCAGGTAGGTGGAGTCCCAGAGTTTCCGTCAATCTTATGTTCTACTTGAACCCAAATCGCAGGAAATTAGCGAAATACACTATTTTGCAATCAAGTGTGGTTTTTTTTTTGGGGGGGGGCTCACTTAGAACCCAGCTGAGTCTCTCGTCTATAATGTTTTTAAATGCAACCAACTTTGTTTGCAACTGAGTGTACTTCGCTAACTGCGTGCAATTCGGGTTCAAGTAAAACAAGTCTGACGGCAATCCGGGGGCTGCGCCCACCTGATGAGCCCCGAAATGGGAGAAACCGGTCGTGGGCTGTCGAAGAATTTTCAGCGACTTTATGAGTAGTGCACTACGTCTATATTTGTACCGCGATATCTCGAATCTCGTACCAACTGAAACATGGTGCGGCCTGGTGTATCAGATTCATTTGCTTGGAAAAATGATAAACGAGAGATTCAGCTGGGTTCCAGGTCTTCCGAAAAAACAAATTTGTTTGCAAGAGTGTATTTTGCCAACCTTGTGGTATAGTTCATTCGTTATTCGTGTGCAACAGCAACCTCAATTCTGCTATACCCAGTTGGCGTTTCATAGCCTTGTGACAGTGTTTTCAACCCGTTGTTTTGTACTCGACGGAGTAGGTTATGGGTATTTCTCAGGGCTACGTAAGCAATCCAGAAGGCGTCACGTCCTTAGCAATGAATGGTACACACCAAATGAACAATGATTTTGTGGTTGTTTAAGACGTGATCCAAGCTATTAGGAACTGAAGTGCACCGGTGTTCGTTTGAGGAGGATTCAAGTTGAATGCCCTGAAAAAAACATGCTCAAGATTACTGGCAAAGTCATACTGTCTGCCCTTTGTCATTTCGGTAGGTTGATCAGGATATCCCTCGTAGATGTCCCTGGGATGTGTTAGAACAGAAGCAAATATAGTAGAATGTGTTTGGAGCATAAGTCGAGACCCAAAATTTAGACGAACACTGAAAGGGTTACTTTGATTTATATCGGAGTCTCCCGTTCTGCGGTGTTTTCGAATCTGAGCTCCGAGAAACGTGGAGGCGGCTGATTGATACTGCAGTATACCCTCCCTACGCTTCTCAGAAGTCGGGGGATTCCCGGTACAGTCATTGGAACTTACTTCCATATACGATAAAGTTCTGTGAATTAAGTGGTCTGTTGCGAGGATTAAGTGGGTGGAAGTATTTCCCTAATGAAACAATACGAGTCATAGCGAACAACTTACCACTGCCCCGAAGACGGTTGCAGTCTTTAGCACACGCCTTCATGATGAATAGCCCGGGTGCGGCCATTGTGTAAGTCTGTATTTTCAGAGGGAATCCGCAAGTTTGGATGTCTTGGAACGCATGTTGCGATGCTCCATGAAGCTGTTGTAATCATGAAGTAATGTGTAGCAGGTGCCTATTGAAATTTCGCTAGAGTTTTAGGGTCTCAGTAGGTTCCCAGCGTTCTGGGTTGCTTCCAGGAATCTGACCTTCCTGATGGTACCCAGAAGCAACCAGAAGCTTGATTCTCCGAATGTTCTGTCACGATCGCTTGTGTATGATTAATCGGAACCACACCATGTTTTCCTGGAAAGCTTTTTACAGCAACACCTATGAAGACTGACTCGTGTCGAATAACTTAGCTAACGCTGGTAAAAGACACCAGATTATCGCGTCCACAACCGGGAGTCTGGCATTCATTTTATTGTGGTTGCCAACGTGAGTCAGGTTGGAGACGTAACACCTCTCAGTTGTTTACTAGGCTATCTGTCCGGATGAATCCAGGGGAGGAACTGCTCCAAAACGTCGATCCATCCGACAGGCTGTTGCACTAATGTGGGACACTGGGTTTCTCCTCGATCCGAGTCTACCTGTAAGGCTGACGAATAACACAAGTGAAATGTTCGGTTCACCCGTTAACACCATTTTACTGGGGTGACCAGTATTTAACACCGGATAATATGGGTCCAATATACAACCACCTGCATGATAAAGCTGCTTCCATCATAGCCGATGGTGGATTCTAGGTTTCATTACCAGCATATTAATGCATTTAACATCAACAATTCGGACTTCCCCGTCGTTATTGCGACCGGCACAGTGCGAGTTCTTAATCTCGCCACCGATGCACTTAGGTAATTATTGCTGGACGGTGTGCAGGCCACGAACTATTTATTATACGGATGGGAAGGAGCAGAGCGTTTCAGTAGTACCTTGATAGTTGGTGGTACCCTGCCGAATACACTCTTCTACTTTCTAAGTGCATATCCCTGGGACCGTTTGTGCGTTGTATTTATACCCTAACTACAGCACAGTAGTCATTACTGGACCACGTTAGGTGTTCCATGTTCTCTGTCACTAGCCTATCAGGCAGACACAGATAACGTTAATTAGACCTTGACACTGAAGAATTACCCGAAAGTTGGTAAGCTGTCCATGCATCTCTTTCTGAAAGCGCAATAGGATGTACACTACCGAAAACATTGTGAGTCTTCCCCGCTGGGCTCACATCACCGCAGTTCCGTCACATTTTGCTGGAAATCAGTACCTTCAACTTTCCTCCAGATTTCCATACGACTGCCTATCTCCGGAGATGTCATCCCAATGCAGACCACAGTCCACGTCTATAGCATGTGGCCAGAAACTATTCCAGTGAACAACCCCACAACTGCCACTACAATCCTGGAACTGTGACGAGTGTTCATCCGGTTGTCATTAGGACGGAATATTGTACTCGATAACGGCAGTCCGTTCACATCATCAGCGTTCGCATGGTTTTGTCGGCAGTAATTGACTTCCGCTCAGGGCTATCTCATCCAGTCGAGCGGCCAGGCGGAACGCGTCGCTCACACTCTTCAGCGAGTATTTCAAAAGTCCGAAGCAGATGCTCGACTGAGGAGACTGCAAAGACCCCTGCTGGCATGTCGAACAAGGCGAAATCCCGGTCTGCCTGATGGATTATCACAATCAAAGGCACTTTCACGTATTCCCTCTTCTAGCCTAATCCATCCTAATCTGAATACTCTCTTTGCATATCCGAACACTGGGGCCGACGCTTTGTTCACCGTGCATCACAGCTGCAGCATATGTGCCTCCGGCTTCAGTAACAGCCTTAAACTCCGTTTTCAAACCCGAACGCCGTCCTGGTTTTCCGCCTTTAATCTGCGCGCATTAAAGCAAGACAGCACGTGGCTCTTGCTCGTGCGCTGGATTCCGTGAACTGATGTTTGCTGTCGTTAGAAATGAGGATCAGCACGCAAGTGTTGTAATTGAACTAGCTCTCTTCCACGTTACGACTGCGCAGCCCTGGGGATGCAGGTGGGTGCTGTGTTGAGCTACAGAGCGAGAGCTTCCCTACTTGGTTGGATACTTGTTGATAGCCACCACCTTCCACCGATGCCTCCAAAACGTCACTAGTTTTTTTAAGGCGTCAACAGATTAATAATGAAGTGACGCGGAACACCCATAGCACCATCAACCGCCGTGGCTCGGTCATGTGATACGCATACCGAGACATAGACTAGTGAGATGAGTGTTTTTCTCCATGCCTTCTTCAGAATGGTGGAAACCTCGAGTTACAGTGTTGTACGCGTTCCTGGATGGGGTCCCCATGGCCGCGCTCGGCTGGAGACGTTGCAAGAAGTAGCGGGTGATCAATGTTAGTGGCGTTACTGTCGGTCTCTTTTCAGATTGTCTGGAGATGTGCGCGCCTCAGAATACTCGACATAGGCCAGCACCAGATCCGCACATATTCACTTTCTCCTCCTTTTAATCTAAGGCTTGGAATACAGTTAGACAAACTTTATGTTTGTATGGCAATCAAACACCAGTGTTAACACTCATGTTGCCGTTTCTTCTTCTTCTGATGACTTCAACTGAAGCCCAATTGTTACGAGGAAAAAATTCCATGGAGTGGTTAAGGTTGGTTCAAAAAGGTGTCTGTTCCCAGGGTTGTACATCAGATGCGGATTAGAACTAACCGATCTGTGATTCGAGTCAGAATAAGATGCGATTGGATCCAGCAATCTTCGTGAACCCTACACAGCACAAGGTTGGGTTAGAGTCTGGCACGCCAATTGACTGGATGTGACATTCTTCAAGGTTTACGCCCACGAGCTAGGAAGATGCAGCCATTCCACAAGTGCGACTTGACGAAGGACATGTTGATTTTGATGTGATATGGTATGTTCTAGGCAAACTTTTCGTCGACAAGGATTTGAAATGGGAGAGGAGACTGTCTACAGTATGTTGTGTTCGGGCTTGTACTACACGTCCTCACCGTCTCTACTCGCAGGTTTGGTGACTCCGATTGTCCACAAAGTACTCGGACTAACACTACTCGCTACTTCCTACGCTACGAAATCACCGATGACCAAACGCTTGAAAGCGGAATATAAGTAATATCATTTGTGCGATGACAAGTTTTGTCTTTTTTGTAACCGTACAACTAGAGCAGTTCCTGGAAAGTGTTGCGAAATATCGATGATAACCACGGGGTCAAACGTCTCAAGCGACTACTAGTTTGGGATCGGTTTCCAGACGATCAGACAGCGTTTAGACCACCGAGTTCTCCAGTTTGCTCATAAGCAATGGCGTAAATTGATATACAGCTGGAAAAGCGTTGTGAGAAAGATGTTCGGCGAGCCGTCACAATTTCCGTGAAATTTTCCAACACTCGAAGCGGGCTAACCCACCCACCTCCACAGAGGTGGGAAAACCTCAAGTCCCATTATGGCCGCTTTTCAAGGTACCGCTGGACCGTTTTCCCTGTTCGCCAATTCCGTCAAAGTTATGGGTACCAAAGGGAGGTTCTCTGACTTCTAGACAGAAGCATTTCCTAATATCTTAGCTGGCCGGTCAGGCTTGATGTGGCAGAAAATTGTGGGATGAAGATGAATCGCTGGCCTGGAAAGTCCGTGATGATGTTACTCGTTAGCCAGGTCCAACCCCTTTAGCGACGAGTATTGCCGTGCGCCAGGAAGATGATAAGATGTAAAAACATATTTGGCCATCACTTTGCCACATTTAACTACAAAAGTACTGTTGCAACCCCCAAGGCCGGTAAAATAAGTACCTTCGCATTGAAATAATATATGAAGTTGCCGTAAGTTATAGGGATTGCATGCCTTGCCAGCTAAAGTTGCAGTGTTATCAAACTGGTTTCAGTGCTTGACACAAATAGGGTTATTTCTAAAAGGTATCCTCTCCTCCCAAGAAGGACCGCTATTTCTCACCTAATACCAATGGGTTTTTTCTTGAACTATCCGTAAATGAATTTCTTCGACCTGTAGTGTGCCTGCAATGAATGAGGGAAGCAACTGATGCGGAATTTATTGTTTCCAATCACCTATAGAATGACTGGTATAATTGGTGCATGCAATTTTCTGACCTGGTGGTAATAAAGCCCCGAATATGAAGTACATATGTGGAGATGAAGATAGGGAAATAATGTTGTTACAGAGCAAATGTACAGAGTAAAGGGAGAAAACGGGTCAGTACAGGAAAGCCCACATTAGCTGGGTGGTTCAAGGCCCAAATGTTGAAGTTGAGCACTTAGATTGACATGTTGGTCGTTCAGTTCGATCCATTCTGCACGTATTTCGTTGTTTAATCGCAGGAGAGAATGATTTGCAGCTTTTGCCTCTCGGATGAGCGAGGCAAGCAAACGCCGACGGTGTCCACCAGAGTACTGAGCTAGCTTTGAAGGGCGGTGGCCAGAAACTGCGGCTAACACCTGAAGCGGATCGACTCTCCTAGCAGGGTGAAGAGAAGGTAATTAACAAAAGACTAGACAGGATTATCGCATCAGATCAATATTCAATGATTCCCAACCAGGATGTGGATACTTTCGGGCAACCATGTAGATTTGTAGTTGAAACTGCCGACGAGTGTAACTAATTTGGTGGACGCATTCAGTAGCCAAAGTTGGAAAACCGGCAACCTCAAATACAACAGTGATGCATTGGTTGAACGAAACCAAAAACAGTACAGCTGTAGATGCTAACGTAATCCATTTGAATGGCGCTGATTGCACACACGCACACATCTATGGTTGGAGTTCACAGATGAGAAAATTCCAGAGCCTAGAGGTCATCACATGCAGATCACACGATGAAGCACTTAACAGACTGCCAGAGTACCGATTGAGCCACATTGCAGTAGCTTTCTGTCCAGCAAACCTGAACGAAAACGTGTTGGAAAATTTACAGCTGAACGAACAAAATACTCTGGAACGTAAAGTGATGAGCCCTGGTTTTGGGACTGTCGGGGACGGTTGAGTAAATGTGTGTGTCTTTTGGTAATGGTTTACATGACCATCACCAACGACTCACTCAAAGAAGATGAATACCGAATATTTTGGGCACACAGACGTGATGCACTAAAGACTAGTCGTTCTTGTATCTTGTCATTTTATGCAACGTTGTGAAAAGAACATTGGACATGAAAACCGCATACCTTCACTCAAGCGGCTGATGGAGCATGTACAACATAGACGCACAATATAATTGCAGAGCCAAGAATAAAACTCGCGAAGTGATAATGACTCCATTTTGCGAAGAAAACCCGTGGTAGTGTTCCACAGAAACAATAAGAATCAGCCGAAAAAACTCGTTCGAACTCAAAATGGGAAACCTTATTTGAAATTAAGAGCTGGTTTGTCAAGAGCGCAGCCTTTTGTGGGCTGTATCCTGAGAACAATGTGAATTTCGTCCACACGGTTCAGAGGAAAAGTGAAGCTCCTTCTCACACGTCAAAATACCGGACGAAACTCCCAAATGGATGTGGATACAACAGGTTTCATAAGTTAGCACCTGATTTAGAGATCACCTGGCGGTAACCCCGGGGTAATAGGGGAAGACCTCGGGGATGCAAAGTGTAAACAACAACAACAACAACACCAAGGCAGCTTCCCCCCTTTGGATTTTAGCAGCGTGCGACCCAACTGAAACGGATTGTACCAATGTGACAGCCACAAGATCTATGGTCGATCAATATTGTAGGTTTATGTATCCGGTTGTCAAGGCCTAATGCTCATATCGTTTTAGTTAGTTACCTGAAATGAAAACGGAAAATCTTATGTTTCGGTGACTAATAGACGCAGCTACCAAGGAATGGCAACCTATGACGCTTTATCTACTAGTTTCTACCCATGCCTTTTGGATGTTTGAAGTACACATTCTTTCCTTCAAGATTAGTCATAGCTATGAAATAAGATCCCTCTTTTCCGCATCCTCAGTCGGAAACGTCTGCGATCCTCCACCTTCGGTCGTTTCTATTAGAACGTTAATGAACCAAACATTGACAAAGATCATAAGTTACAGATGCCCTTTGTTTTCATCTAATCTTTAAAAACGACTATGACTAGTTAAGGAAAAACAATACACTATCTCGTATAAGAGTTCCAAAGCTAGCAAAATGTTGCGCATTGGATGGAATGTCGTAACCAGTGAAAAACAACCTTTTTCGTGCGTGGACAGGCCTAGCGATACAGTTACATTGGAGAAAGGGGTTGCTGGGGCGCGTAGTCACAAAATACGTTAGTTATACAAAAAAGGAAACACGTTAACTGAACAATACAGACGATGCAGTGAGTACACGTTAGACAAAATATTCACGATACCGACAAAAAACACGTGGGCGAAAGCATTCTAGTTTGCAACAGCAATTTCCATTGCCCTACCCATCGATCCCCAACCAGTCACTATCTTTGCTTCCATATGTTGTGTTATGTGCCATAATGAACAGGAGTGAAGCATCCAAACTTTCTGAGGGACGATGGCTGTCGCTTCGGTGTTCCGCCTCTAGCTGAGTCTTCCTATTTCTTGTTACACGTTAGCACTATTTTGCCGACGATTTTTCTTGACTTCAAAACTACCCGCAATTCTCTCGGCGTTTTTACTCATGGTAGACTTCTAATCTCACTTAAACTCTTTCACTCTTGCGTATCCCTACAGGCACTCTTCAACTCAACGCACAGAAATACCCGAGGTGTACCGATGAATACGCTAAATGAACAGAGAACCGCCGTACAAATCCTGCTCTTTACGCTAGGAACCAAGTTATCAGTTCTGCGACTGAAAACCATAGGCAAGCCGTCGTGTTTAACTCAGTTGTATCAAGTTTTCTCCATCTGGATGCAGAAGAACAAGAGTAGGGGGGCTCTGGGTATCACCCACTGGTGTGCCACCGTGGTCTAGCCAAAAAGGATATTCCCATCCGGACTGGGAAGGCTAGAGCACCTTGCGTGAACCCGTTTCACTTGTGGCGTAGGCGTGACATAAGCTTATCCGTTGACGATAGAGCTTACAGTGCTACGGTGCGCTCCGTATTGTTATAAGGAAAACTGGCTGATGCGCGCTGAGGACGCTGAAAAGCTTTCCATGATTAACCATCTGTGTCCTGGGATCATGGCCTGGGTCTGGTGGGAGCAACGGATCAGCAACGCTGAAGTACATCGACCGGTCCTCGGAAGAATAACTCACCTATGGTAAACGAACTGACCAGATTTCATTGGTTGCGCAAGTTTGCTCAAGTGCTCTGCATGCCAGTTGACATGCTTTCTCGAAGAGCCCTTTTCGCACAACCACGTGAAAGATGGAAAAGAGCCAGGGGGCAGGGGCCAAGCAATGATTTGGCAACGAAGTATGAAAGCCATTAGCACTAAACTCAGCTGCACTGATCATTACCACATCCCTGAATTGGAATCCCGAAACGGGACACACCGGTGGTTAGAGATGCTGTCAGACATGGCTCAATAGCGCGTGCATCCAAGATGTTCAATGCATGACTTCTCTTTCCGATCACCCTAATATATAGTCCACTGACAGCCCTCTATTGACGCATCAATTAAATCAGCTATCGCCTGCAATGCGTACCTATCTACCTCTACCTTCCCGAATCATCGGTGAAACTGTGATAGCTATAAACACTGTACAGCAAGCGCGCGGTTTTTAAACTTGATGATTGAACACGGTATAATTAAGTCAAACAATGGCAACGTTTTCACACAGCGACAATTGCTGTGTGAACATGGTCAGTCCTTGACGTAATCGACATAAGTCTTCGCCCACCTGAGGATAATGCTTGACCTGATGTTCACAAATCAATTGTAATAGTCATGCCTGCTGAAGATTTTTAGCGAAGATAAACAATGACGTGTTCCCATTTGAAAACTACTTTTCCAAACGGGCGTTCATTTGTACGCGGTGTTCCCTCCGTAGGGAAATCAGTGTACGTGATCGGCGACCTTCATATTAGTTTAATACTAATTTCAGAACGTTATGTGAGATTTGTGGGACGATTCTAAACCAGATGAGCAAAACAAGGAATTTTTTAAAAGTATTTTACGCACAGCCACGACGAGTAGCTGAGCGAATGTATAGGAAAAAATATGGCGAGAAATAAAGTGGATCGCTATTTCTTCGTGCAAGACTAAGTCAGGAAGCATCACTATCGCTCTTTGTGGTAGGAAAAAACAGCAGGCAACCTGACAGTCATATCCATGCATATGACCTAATCACAGTACATATTCCATGATAGGCTAGAGGCTTTCAATAACCGCATACCCAAGACGATAATCTCATCACGCATAGAGTCTGATCAGTGGCTGCGTCATTAGACTCACTTAAAAAAGATATCACTGACCGTCGAACAGAAAAATCGTGCGGAAGTTTGTTATGCCAGGGAAGGGAATATTACATCCAGTCGTCTGAGGAAACGGTGAGTGATGAAACAAAGGAATACCAACGGGACATATATATTGGTTAGAGATATAGAACCAATGAGTGAGTCGTGGGTGATGAGGGAAGAGAAAAATGTCATAAAGCGACGGGGTCAAACAAATTCACAAAACTAACGCACCTGTGTTTCACTTTCCTAAAGTTCGACTTGCCGTCGACCAATCTTGAAGGACTATCTTTGTGGTTTTCAGTATCTGAGTCAGCCTCGCTTGAGGAAGAGGTGCTGACTGAGGAGGACTGTGAAGAAACTTGGGAATCTGATGAGTTAACGGAAAAGGAGGTGGCCAAAGAACAGGAGTGGCTGGAACGAGGGCTAAAATGTTCCAACAGATTTGTGTCGCCTGGTACACGATCGGGTAACAACGCTGTTTCTCCAAAAGCATCTTGCTCCGCCACTGAGTAGTCGTCCTCTGCGTCACCGGTTTCCACTGGTTGAAAGTCAGTCATGGTTGGCCTATGCTGCTGGCTTTCAACCATATCGACTGCATTTTTAGGGAGATAAAAGTACGTCCAGTGAAAACACAAGTTCCCTAAAATAGATAGTCACGCTTCGTTTCAAATCCTGTACTAAACAAAATACCGTTGGGTCTCAATGCATGTTACTGCATTTCGTGTTGGCTTCACGGAAGTATATCAGGCATTTAATGGCACCGGCCGAGACTGATGTGATAACGCCACTAAGATTCAGATTGATGGTGCATCCCTAAACCCACAAGACGAAATGCAAGACAGAAGTAGCATTGAAATGTTTTGCGGTGAGGTATTCCTTGCCATGTACTGTAAACCATCTAACGGTATTCTGCGGTGACCTCGGTCTCACCCATGGAGCAAAAGAACCACTACAGGTGATAAGCAAAGATTACCATTTAGATGATGACGTTAACCGCAGGCTAGCTCCTTCTCTGGAAAATACCAGATAAACTAAGCTCGTCCTTTTGATTAGATTCAGTACGTATGCTCATAGATAACCGCTAGTTACCGATCAGCCCAAACTATTTTGGCTCATAACTGTAGGCTTTCCCTTCCGTGTTAAATTCTAGCTTGAAATGATAAAAAAAGACTAATGAAAAATCACCAGCTCGTAAGACTAGCAAAAAGATATGTAAAACACCAGAGGATATAAAGGAAAATGATAAACTCCATTTGATGTCCCTGTCAGAAACCAGTAGAAAAATGTCTCACCGGATATTAGACATTCGATTCTTGTCCGTGCGCTGCGTTCACTAGAAAACAATCCAGTCCCAAGCTAGCAGTAGGGCGGAGCCTATTCTAGATACTGGCGGTCGCAGTGTGTAGTAGTAAGTCTCGCTAAACGATATTGCAGGAGACGTGCATCTCCAGTAAATATGCCGACTAACCCTTCGTCATAGTAAATAATTTGAGAATACACAGCCGAAGTTCACAGGAATCAAAATGTTGAGACTTTGAGTTATCTCAAGCTACATAGCAGAAGACCGATTTCCCCGTGTTTTCCAGCATTCTTGTTCCTGTTTCCCTATTCTATCCAGTACGAACTTCGACAGACAGGTAACCACTTCTTTACGTCCCATACTCGTCACAACCGGCTTTACGTATATCTGCTGAAAACTGTAGGTTTGTTACATTTGTGGTCGGTATCGTCTTGAAACGAAGGTGAACGATTAAGGCGAACTTCGGACCGCCGCTCACCTGGCCACGAGTCCAAGGTCACTCGACTGGACACATGTCCGAGGTCGTTTCATCCTGCATGTTTCTTCGTATCCCTTTCCGTCCCGTGTTCCCTATTTCTACCGTTCTGTTTGTCCCAGAACACCAGAATGACTGTTATAACTGGGTCTCATTGACCACCGGCTTGCTATAACTGATCAACCAGACCCGTGGTTCTATCTGATGTTGATCACAATGTCGTCTGCGTCATTTCTGATTTATCCGCTGGCCAATCTCCCAAGTACAAATGTCCCTAGCTAGCTTATTTCTGAATTTGGGTCTGCATGAGGTCTAATAGCGGTAAAAGCCGGTTATGTGGGAGCTCTCACACTGACGAGCTTCTACAGTGAGAAAACAATGACAAAAATTTGGATAGGGTAGGTGAAAAACCGCAAAACTTTAAAGTACCACGCAGAAATTAAAAAGCTGCTGGTAACAGGCACCAAAACACTAATTGCACCACAGAAATCTAGCACGCAAGGGAAGATGAAAGCGAAACCGAACACTGGTTACATGGTTTCCAATTCGATACACTATCACGTGAAAACGAACTTACTAGCTGGTTTGTGGGCGAAAGTACGGTGCGAAAGAGCGTTGGAGATAAACGCACGCGCTGTGTGGGAACTAGAGTTTGGCACACCCGACAGGTGTTTGGCAATGTAGGAAGCTGTGGCGGAGACCGCATCATTGATTGATAAGCCCTTGTTTCCGTGCAAGTGGGCGAGATGTGAGGCGAGACAGAACTCAGCCTTGTTCAGGTAATTGTCACGATCGAGGTCAGCCAGACGCCTAATAGGAAACATGAGAAAGTGAAGACATCGTGGATTTAGGGGCAACGTAAGTGACGTCCATTAAAAAACGCGAGAGAGCGAAGACCTTAGTGGTCTAAATGAGAAACATGCAAAATTAATGCCAGTAGCAATGATAACGGCATTAACTCATACGACAAATCGGGAATTTCCAAATAAAACTAGGAGAAACAGCAACTGACGTAGTTAAAGGTTTGGTAACACGTCATTTGTATGCTCACAGAGCCTAAAGAGTGTCTCCGAAGTCAGCAGCCTCATACACTTCACATGCATGAATGCACCTTCAGTCCATAGCCCCAGCACTTTTTAGCCCTGCCTCATGACCTTCGGGCAAGAAGTGTGTAAGCGGATATGGGTCCTGCAAGAAAAGTCAGGCATCCACAGCGTCATCATCATGAATATATTAGCAGTAAACATCGTGGCCATACAAACATGGAGGGAATTGTAACTAATTTAGGCATGGCAAAAAAAGAATGAAAATCAACCAGAAAATCTGATAAGCGGAGCCCACACCAAAAATAGAGATCGAGGACACCATTGACAGATAGTGTGACTATATCGGGAAAATACGCTTCAGCTATCCATGCCCTAGTACGTCGGATTACAAAATACATACCAAGGTAACCCTCTCCTCAATAAAGCACCTTCGAGAATATCCAAATGCATCCTTTGAATGGGGTTTTTCGTGGTAGAGCTGATTTATAAGAGCCACAACGATGCTATGTGCACATGGATAGTATGATTTTAGTAGAGTTTTGAACAGACTCCGCGGACGATGAATCTCTTCGGTAGTCATCTATATTCATGGCTACGATACAAAGCATATCGTAAGGGAGCTTGTTTACGAGTCGTCAGTCCATCTTCCACATCATAATGAAGAAGCTACTTTTTCCCTGTTACATCAGCAAAATTCAGACGAGAGCAAGGAAACGCGAAATATACTATATGTTTTGTATCACACAGTAGTAAAGTCATATCACACAGCAATACACTTCACTATATCGTATAATATTATTTCACATTTTAATATAACGAAAACATCGACGATTATTAAGATCTCGGTAGAAAGAACGGTCTTCTAAAATGGACCAATCACGAGGAACGGTAGGAACATGCTTTCCATTGAGGAACCATTCTCCTATAATACACCCATACATATCAGCAATAAGCATTGAAAGCAGTTAAGACTTCCAAAAAACAGCAGGGGAACAAGGTCACCGCAATCGTCCACACAAAAAACGGAGGAAAAGACCGGATCACTTTACTTAGAAGGTAGCTCCTTCACTTAGGCGAACCGTTTTTCCCTCCAGCAAAGTCTATTGTAGACACCACTGCCAAATCCGATATATTGGGTGGGTGATTCCGTCATTAGAAAAATTTGTCACACCGTATCAGCAGTACTGTAACAAGGTAGGGCTGGGTGCTAGTTTCACGGGATATCACATCACTCAACTCGAGTACAATGTGTTCAAAATGGGGCTTTATGCAGCATAACAACCGGATGTGTGTTTAGCTGTGTAGACAGGTAAGAGGAGTGAATAAATTTACCAAGCCGTTGCGCGATTGGACTTCCTACAAAAAGCTCAATCCCGAATTGATTACCTTAATGATTCGTGGTGCCAGCAGTTCCTGAAACCTCTGCATGTTTGCGAACCAAATCCCTGCTACTGTAAAAGTTAGCTCTGCAATACAAAACAGTGGTGGCTTGGATAAACATCAAGTGCCACCTCAACCTTCCGAACCAGTGTACCACTCCAGAAAAGCCAAACGGAACTCCGTTCACGAAATACAATCACTTGCACATTGATCAGGGTTTAACAGGAGAATCGGGTGAAAAAAATCGTTCAGCTGTAGCACCATTTTGGTGCCTAGCTGCCATGCCACCCGAAGGAAGCACGAGGGCTGGGATACTGCAAGGTTGCCCAAGCCTAGACAGGGGAAGTCGAGTGGCAGAGGTCAGGTTCGAACCATGGACCTCACGGTCAGTAAATTCGCGCTCTAACCACTTCGGCCATCTGGTCGTCTGTAAACTAACTTGATCTAGTTCAATTTATCAGCGTTAGACTGCTGGTACAGGTCGATATAACGTTTGTCCACCGGTGAACTAGGAAATAGCATAACGACACCGAATCATTCGGTATCACTTAAGGTGGATGAATCGAAAAGCCTAGGCGTTGAAGCCAATGGCTTCGGATTAATCAAAGCGTTATTTCTGTTAATCCTACTGGAACAAATATTACGTGGCTGAAAACCGGCCTAGTAATACTTGAGTAAACGGGAAATAAGTTGTGGGTGATGGTCGATGAATTAAAAGCTGCAAGGGCGAATACTACTTTCCGATTGCTAATGTCAAGGGAGCCCATCCTGCACTTTTGACCAGAAGGTCGGAAACATAAGGTCGCTAAAAACGCAGTGGTTATTTCGTAATCTAAAGACATCGCGTGCCTTAGCAGTCTGACCTAGGTAGATGGAGTTCGGGTTTCTCTGAGTGATCCTGTTTGGAGACATGACTCAACAGCCTCAGGCGTTTACGTGGGTATGCGATTTGCACCTTCAAAATGTAAAATGTGTTTTTGAAAATTGAGGAGGAGCAATTTGAGTTTGTAGACTAGTGCACGTACCTTTGTAGCAGCATAAACCTTAGTTGTTGAGCAACCAATGCGGGCATCATCGGGCCACGGGAAACGAACACCCAGGTGTTTTGCTCATTGTGTCAAAAATGGATGGCCTGAATGCTTGCCAGCTTTCCTATTAGGATTTTGGTGGAGTTTTAGGGTCTCATTAGGTTCTGGGCGTTTTGGGATTGCCTTCAGGAATGTGACCTTTCTGACTAGGTCGCGATTAGAAACTCTGGAGTTTCGTTAGATGTGCACAGCTGATGACTTCCAATAAGGATGAAACAGCAAAACAAGGCTTCTCTGAAGTGGCTTGCACATTCCTACAGGGTCTTGAACACATTTCGATATTTACTTAGCCTGATGGTGATGCTTTGCTACCGCATCACGCCAGAGAAGTTACGCTATAAAGTTACGAACCTTGAAGCATACCGAATGCTTCATCTGACCGACCAATTCAACATACTATGTACTTCCTCGTCGTATCGTTCAACTTGACTCTTCCAGGTGAGAACATATTGTAGCTAGTCAACGAACATTTATTGTGTAAAACCAAACAGACCCACTTCGGTTGCCGATAGTGATAAGTATACGCAATAGTCCACGAGCAACGGCATTAGATGTGCTCAAATATCCATGTCTTTATCGATGAAATTTATGCGCCTTTTTATTATATATCCAAGATTCCAACCTTCCATGTTGTTCCTCATGAGTGCATTTTTATCAAAAGACGCGTAGCAATCAAATTAGCATGTCCATGGCTTTCAGCATTCATAGGCTCCTTTCCGCAGCAGTACGAATAGTTACACGGAGAACCGAGTACTAGGGCTTTCATTTTTGATCATGTAGATGGCTGTATTTTATCCAACTGAGATGGCCTGGGCAGCAAGATAAGTAAATGTACGGTAAGCTGGGTTGAAGCAATCGATCGAACACTTCGTGATATGATACTCTTCTCAATGCTTGTATCTGAAGAGCACAAGTTGGTCAATGTGAGATGACAGAGTAGAACCCCAAACAAAGTCAAACGAAATAAACGACCAGGTAGGTATTAGTATCCTCTTGGCATTGTCTTAAACTTTTTACTGAATATACCAACCGGTGTTTATCCCATAGGCATTTTGGGCGAACAGTGCAGTTCCAGTAAAGTCATTTGCACATTGTACTGAATGTCTGTGGACGGGATGTTCTTCGACGAACCACGAAGAACTACAAACGATAAAAACATGAAGTCTAATGTCAAAGTGAAAGAACTCCGCTGAGAAACGTCTGGAGAAATTGGTGAGTGACCTAAGATGGAATGTTTTGACAAGAGTAGCATAAAGCGACACTATCACGGACAGCATAACAATGGTGTTCAAGAGTGATTCTAGGACAAAATTTTCACCACCAGAGGACGAGGAGACCTACCAAATTTGCTTCAAATCCTCAGGAGATACCCGGAATTGTGTCATAAATAGCTGCTGAATATCCGAAAAAGAGGCTCGTTGAGTGTTACTTGTTTTGCCATCTGGAAACAGATTTTCAAACTGGTTCGCATATTCCACCTCTCGTTTCGGATGCAAAGTAAACAAACTAAGCCAGCGTTGGTGATGCTCTTTCTTTGACTCAGTTGGAACTTGTGTTCCGTTCATAATGTAATTTGTGTGAGATTTCGTTCCACAGAGTCCGAATCCACTGCTCTTTGACCGTGAACTGCGCTTGAGTCTGACCTCATAATCTGTATTGTCAATGTCAGACGATAGGGCTGACGAGGCAAATAAATAAGCAGAAACAGTGGAAGGACAAACTTGGAGAAACACTATTAACTCGATACCTAAGTTGATTTTGAGGTGAACTACTGGGTTGTTACCAAACCAGTACTTATGACTAGCCCCAGAGTCACACAGAGACCCGCCTGTACACAAGGCAATAAAAATACGTTCCCGTTTGAAGTTTCTGAACTAGAATTACAGCTATTCTCGGTTATAGAAAACAGTGCTGAAAACTTATAGGAGAAGCAGACTGACTCGTTCAGTCACGAAATCCTACATCTGGAACACTCACTTGGGTTAAGCCACCTGTTTCAATAGTAAAAAAATGGACAATAAGCAAAACAGCGGGAATATTCTGGTAGGGTGGTGACTAACACAGATTATCTTCACAGCCCTGGCCGCTGTGGTCGCAAGACTATAGGTGGATATCGCCTCAAGTAAACTGTGGCAAGCAAAGTCAACAGGGCAATGTTCTGAAAATACTTATTACCTTACTGAAACAAGCACTGTTGAGGCCCGTAAATCATCCTCGAATAATAATCAACTGGCTGTTGCATGGAAGCACTGTATATGAAAAATGAAGTACGAACAGGCAAAACTCGAGAGAGGGGGGAGGAGAAAAAAGATGGAAAATGTCACTTGGCCTTACTCAAAGGATATATTTAACCGTCAAGTCCCAGATGGTGTCTCACCTGACAACTGACTTGTTCTATCGTGACTACTGGGTCAGTCGAGCTGAAGTGTTGCAGAGAGCCTTGACTGTTTGCACAAACTGGGCACATTAATTCTGATGCTGATTGTTCCAACCTTTCCCATAAGCTTCAGACGGGTGACTTTTCAATGGAAGAAACAGATGAGCAACATTGAAGATATTCCTTATGGTGTCGAATCACCTTTCACAGACAGGACAAGAAATCTCACTTCCTTTGTGCACTTTTGGGACGGTTGCCAGATATTCTCGTCAATAAGTCTCTCTAGATAGAACAGCAAATCCCGTATTGCTGTCGGTTTGTCCAGCAACACATCACCTGGATGGATCTTCCGAGTCGAATTAGTTTAGTTGTTGGGATAGATCGAGTCACTCGTCAGGTTGGACACCAGCTGAGACTTGGAAGGTAAATGTGTACATTCGTTACTAGACACTTGAGGTCACGTGACATGTTTTTTTCTAAAACGAACGCGAAAAATGTATCAAGACAGAGACATTCGAAGTTGTCGCTGCTATATAGTGGGAAGTCGTCCGAACAGAGCTAGACAATGTGCCGAGAAGGAGTGCACACTAATTCCACTAAAGAACACATAGTATCATGGCGCTATTGGGCAAACTCACGAGTATGTATTGGAGAGGTAACAATCGGTGAAATCGCCCGATTTTTGGGCCTGTTTTCTAGGTTACGATACGCCCACTCTGGTGTCACATGTTTTATTACCGTACCGTCATCTAAGGCGTGCCACACAGTACCGTCAGATATGCTTGTATTGGAGTTCAAGGTGGATGTTGACACCGAGCCCGAACTGGCCGATGAAGAGCTTCGATTTACATAGTGTTCGCGACATTTGCGGGAATGAGATCGATGAGGACTGCAGGAATCATTTGATTGCATTTTCCCTGTTTGGAGAACACCATACGGATCCGTCCGCTCAATGTGCTCCTTTGTTAAAAGACCTGCAAAGCGAAAAAATTATCTATTGACATAGGTCCAGTAAGACCGGTCCAGCAGAAAGACCGGTTGCATAAGTGTGACAGGAAATTGGAGTCCCGCCATATGCTGAGTGTGTACAATGACTAGATGACGTATGATACGGCCGGCTTACCTCACACTGGCTTCTACAGATAGCTCAGCGGTTAAGGCGCGAACCCGCTGACTGGAAGGTCCGTGGTTCGAATCAAATCCTCGGCAAACGGACTGCTTCTGTGTAGGTTCGGGTGACCTGGCAGTATTTCAGTCCTCATGCCTCTCTCGGGTGGCATGTCAGCTATGCATCGAAAAGGTGTTGCAGCTGAATTATCACTCAATTTTACTGCTTCCGAGTGGTTGCACAATGCTTTATCGCATTTTATTACGTATAGTTTCCTGCTTAACCATTCAGAGTGCTATCTTACATTGTTGGGCACGCATACAAGCCTTGAATGACCAACACTATTCACCAAAATACGATGAACATTGGTATGCACATACACATTTAAACCACATTCATACACTGGCTTGTAATAGTATTTGGTCAGACGCTCTACCAAACACTCTCATTCAAGGGCTAGTAAAAGAATTTTCAGGTCTGAGAAGGTGTACTTTTAAATTACAACCCTTCGAGTGTATATGCCTCAACGCTGTAACCCCCGGAAGGGAAGTACGAGGACTGAGATACTGTCAGGTTGCCAAGCCTAGAACCCCGGAAGGGAAGTACGAGGACTGAGATACTGTCAGGTTGCCCAAGCCTAGAAAGGAGTGGTTGAGAAGATGAGTGTGAGTTCGAATCACGGACCACTTGGTCATTAGGTTAGCGCCTTGATCGTCTAGCTGTCTCAGGCTCATGTAATCTTGGCAAATAGTGGTGAATCTACGGAGGCACCCTTTGACATGGCGGCTGGACCGCAATCGAAAAGTACATAAAGAATACTTCAACAAAGGGTGAACGAAAACACAATCGGAAACTGCCTGAAATCCTGTTGGAAAGTGCTATCTACCTGCCTGTGCACAATAGTTTTTAATCGGTTTCCTTACGCTTTTTGGTGAATAGTGAAGTCTAGCGCTGACTGACATCTGCGTCTGACATCAAACGTTAAGTACGGGCCTCTATCTTTGTCATAAGTCCATAGCATGACTATATTTAGGCTTATCAAACCCAAACCCTAGTCCGCCATCCCTAGAGCTGAATGGTACTGCTCTGCCACGATTCAGAGAATTGAACGGATCGAAACTCTCTTGTGATGCACAGTTTAGATGATATAGAGTCGATATTAAACCGCTTTAGAGTGGTTTGTGACTTCGGAATAGATTAACCTGGTCTCGCAAGTGCAGTATGGCCATGAGTGACTTCAACAAATCCACGAGAAATGAAGTTGGAGATGCAATTATAAGTGGAAAGGGACACACGCATTAACTCAATAACCAAAGCGCCGTATAGTTCTATGGCAGCATCGGTTAATTAGGTTAGGATGTGGGACTCAGTCAATCGTCAGTTGAAGTCCCCGTGACACAACGGAACACTTTCTTCCCGATTGTCTCGCCGCGGATTCGTTGGAACCAACCCAAAAAGGCTATGTTTCTGAGATAACGGTCATCGAAAACCTGAAGATATCTCATTTGTAAGTGGACTTGTACCTTCAAGCATAACGCACCGACACTGTCAACCGGACCGATGATAAAAAAATCGTTCAGCTGTAGCACCGTTTCAGTGCCTAACTGTGTCAGCTTCGCTCCTCGCAGAGACCACGCCTCGCAACTATATACCAAATAAATCCACAGTGCAGCTTGATGTAAACGTTCCTTGAGGTTCAGACATATGCCATCCTGTAGCCATGGTTGTCCCAAGTTATCAGATGTGATCCTCAGATTCGCGCATTGACCTCAACCGCCACACTACGGTCGGAGTTTATAACTCCCAAGATAAATAGAACAATTCACAACCGCGAACGCCTCACCTTAGGTTTTAGTTAGCGTGTTCAATGGATGCACATCCAGGAGCGTAAATTTACACTTAGTGGGTAATAAGGTGACAGATAATCGTTCAACTGTAACACTCATTTTGGAACCTAGCTACCATGCCAGTCGAAGGAAACCAAAGGGCTTGGATACCATCACGTTGTCCACCTAAATAGAAGTGGAGATGTAAAGATCGAGTTCGAACCATGGACCTCCCGGTCAGTAAATTTGCGCTCTAGCCACTTATCCGTCTCGCCACCTGAGCTCCACTTAGTATGTGAAAAGCTCATGTCAAAGACTTTGATCAGTTAACTCAAAAACACCTGTTGCTTCTTTTTCTTCCTCGAAGAACGATGTCATCTACATGTTCCATATATCGACAAGGTTTTAGTCACCCGCAATCTGAGCCTCAGGATTCGTTCTCTCATCCCATTAATTAGAGAAATGAATGGGAATGGAGAGTGGGTACCGTTTTCCCATGCATCTTTTTGTACTCAAACGCCCGCAAGCTTGAGCTTACGAAGAGCCCATTATATCAGGAAAAATTCCAGAAGCCTTCCTTGCAGATCAACCATGTCAAAGAGAACAGACAGGTAGGAGGGGTTAAATGCGTCTTGGAAATCCAAGAATACCAAAACTGGTGCCCGCTTAAAAGCAGGGCATTGTTCTGATGCTGGTTGGGTGTGACGATTTGGTAAATGTAACCTCTACCAGGCCAAAACCTCGTCTTCTAAACTTGAGCAGACATTATCAAATACCATGCGAGAAACCGTCATGAGCAGCCAGTCTAGATGCAAAAGTGAGACTTATCTCTAGGCTTGTAAACATTCATCCTTCAGCAGACTTTTGGCAAACGAGGTACTCACTAGTTATATGAAGAAACCGGCTAGACTCAGCTGCTGTGATACATGTTTCGTCACCAGTCATTAGAATCATCATCACAAACAACGAAATCAACAATGATACTTATGCATCACAAACATACACCCATGACAAGTACATATTATCCCTTCCTCCTACTGACATGCAAAGGAAAGAGGGCATTCAGAAAGAAACTGACAACAACCAACCTATCATTTGATGCGCCTAAACGTCCATATGCTCAATCCGAGAACTCGGCAGATTGTGGTGGGCTTCAGTGGTCATCAGACTAAAGATAGGCTGATGCATACCAGATAGTTCAGCACAAACAGCCCTCCCCCAGTGGGGAGCTGTTTATAGAAAAAATAAGCAAAGTATCAGGTGAAGTCAGTAGAATACCTGTATGTATACGCGGTTTGCTTCCTGCAGCTATTCATTAGGAGATAGTATAACATAACAAACACCGTTGGGCCCTGCAATGAAGATTGCCCGCTTGAGTAAAGCGACTCCTTTTGGTAAGAGGCCCCTGGAGGGACCACTGCATTGCTACGTTAATGTGATAACTGTGTCAGTTAGTTTATATAGGGGAGAACAGCAAGATTTTCAATGAGCGTTCTTCTATTTCGGTGCGCTGCGTGACCTCCTTTCAGCAGGTACGCCTAGCCGCCTAAACATTCTTCATCACACAAATATAAATGGCTAAGCTATACTATTAGACATAAATGCCTTGACACAGGAAACGCACAACTATGTGAATTTATTTGAGTAGAAAATAGGGGCTGTGGTTTGGTTACTAGGCACTGTAAAACAGCTACCAATTTTGTGCACTATTTGTAAAGTGGTCCTCATATCCCTATGGGTTTCAACCAGCGCTGTGGAGGGAAGCAATGAGAGGCAATGCTATCTTACAACGAAGGTAGCTTTCAATTCTTGACCAAATCCCCAGCTGAAACAGTTCTAAAGACGGTTGGTTTCGAAAATGGGTTTTTAACGAGCACGGATAAATTCAAATGGAAACAGTGTTCCCTTTTGATTAGGAGTATCAGCTGGGCTGATGGACGAACATTCCCACAAAACGATGGAGAAGTGCACGTTCGTGAGACGATCATGGTTCGTGTGCACGCAACAGTGAGCAAACATCAATCCATCATATGAACAAAACAACGACTCACTTTCCTCATCATCTCCATACTCTAACCACTTATCAGTTTCGGTTCGATCAGTGGTAAAACCCGAGGCATTGTCCGACAACTCCTCATCCCTTGTTGCCGTGGGTGTGCGAGGCGGTGAGACAGTGGACAAATGTGTAGAAATTTCCGAAAGGGTTCCACGGAAATCCTCCTGATAGAAAACAAGAATTGGATAAAGCGATCCATCTAATAAGTGATGAATAAAACCAGCGGTTAGCATAAGTGCGGTAAAAGAGAACCAAAAAAACGAAATTAGTGAATAGCATCATCATGAATACCGACTGGTCAAAGCTGCCCATCCAATGCTCCCATAACTGGGTATACAGAAACAACTGTGTTGCGGCTTGATGAACTCTTTGAGATAACACGAAATAAAGGGAAGAATGCTGAGTTTAACATTTTCAAAATCAATATTTAGTACTCTCTATCCCCAAAGCACCCAGTTATTTTCGTAAAGGCGGCCTAGTGAAGCACATTCAGTTGAAGAACATTACAAACGAGAGATTCGCTTGAGTCTTTCGTGAAAACCAAACCGATTTGCAAATGAGTGTGTCTTTCGAAACCCAGGTATTCTCCCAAAATCAGCTTTCGCATAAATAATGCCGAACGTCCTAAATGAAAAATATCGCCCCTAATGTGATGCACATTCGACTTCCTATTGTTGTACTGTATGAACAGAAACGGAAAAGGATCAAACCAGCAAATGAGTAAAATAATACCATCGTCGTTGATCACAAACAAAACAGGACAATGGTAAAACGGCTGGAATTAAAACAGAACTCATTTTAAGAACCATAGGACAGCTGAGCTCTTGTGGGGATCGCATGAGACCACAACGTTGGATTACGGAGAAGTCCTGCTACACAAGAGATCGCGGGAGAAAAACACTGGAGCTTGCACAAATTACCTAGGTCCGTTCCCATATTCTAAATTTCGAGCTAAGGATTACTTAGCCAATCCCCTAATGAAGAGTTCCAAATGTATATTCGAGGCCTATCGGTAGTTGCCTTCTAAGTCTGGACGAATTAGAGGCATGTCACTCCAATACTTCCTAAAGGAACCCTGGCAGCTGCGTATCACAATTGGCACTGTAAACGAGTTGATTAGAATGTACACAATATTAGCAAAATAGTACAATACATCTCTAAAGGTAGTGTCCCAATAGGAGTAATGTACAGCGCGAAAGATAGTGAAAACATAACAGCCGATGAAGCTAGAAACCAATGAGCGGCTATACAATAAGCAATGAATGAGAGATCAATGTTACTTCTCGGTTCGAGACATTGTGTCTACTCTGATTATGCATAGGTAAAATAGATCACGAATGGATAAATAAACTTTACTTTTCTTACTCAGCTACCACAGAGCGCCAAGTGTATGTGGATTCCGGGTACTACAGCCTCTATCATCGATAAATGGTAAAGACTGTTATGCATGGGATACAATGGTCCAAACGGTTTACTAGTCTTGCATTGTTTTAACGAAGTGAGCAGAGGGACAGCTACCTATTGAAAGCGGCAGTGTTGATGCAGCAGTGCGATTGGCTGCGATACTAGGGGAAACAGTCACATGAAATGCAAAACACGTAACCTGTGGATTGTGGTCAGCTGGTCAGTTATCGGCGAATTGGTTCCCCCGAAAACCAGAAACTCCAGAGTTCCCACCAAACTGAGGCGATATTCCAGAAACCTCAAAGGGCAAACAAGTCATCCTTTGTATTCAAAAAGCATATCTGACAACAAAAACTTTCGCATTTAATTGTCATCTAAGAGTATTCTGAGACAAAAGACGAAACATCCCGTGAGGGAGTGGTCCGGAAACACTTCGACTCCGATGACCCAGGGGGTCCTAACCCGTAGTAGATACCAGAAACAATCTGTCCCTTATCAATTATTCTTCTCATGCCATGGCGTACCCTGAAGGCGACAACATTCCGGCTGCTCAACTGGCGAGAGCGACCAGAAAACAAGCCAGGAAACTCGATATTGGTGGAATGTAAAGACCCTCTTGGAAACTGGGAGTCAAGTCACAAACAGCTTATTCGAAGTCCGGATATCTGCGAAGGGTTCAAACCGAATTAAATTTCCTGGAGTAATTCTGGTCCAGCGCTATCGGTGCTACTCGCCTTCCAGGGTGGGGACCGCGTGATCCTCACTGTGCCTGGTTGGAGACACTACAAGATATGGCTGCCAACCGATGTCAGTGGCGTTCTTGTTGTCAGTCTCTGTCCAGATTGCCTGAGTGAATGTCTGGAGGTGTAGGCACCTCGGAATGATTGTGTTAAGTTACAACTAAGTCCCTCCCCCATCCACCTTTATTCTTTTCTTCACAATAAGGCTTTCAAATAAGTCATGGTTGTACGGCAGTGAAGCATCGGTGTTGAACACTGATGTCATGCTGTCGATGATGATGATGATGATGATCTGGTCCAGCCCCTGAATTCCATAGAAGAGCATAGAATGCGCTATTGTTATTAGGACCGATCATTTCCAAAATTTTACTAGTAAGTTCAAAAGCCCACCGTCCAACATCATCGTCGTAGCTGCATATGAACTGACATTTGAATCCGACCAGTACATCAGAGACAAGTTCTATGAGACGTCCTAAGCAGCTGTTGGAGGAGCACCCAGATGTAATGTGCCTACAGTCTTTGGTGACTGGAACGGGACCATTTGATACCTGTGTGCTAACCTTAGAAACCATAATCTCTGTTCTCACTGGGAAAATCGTTAACTGTTAACTTAATTTCAATCGGTTGTGCTTCCTGAACACTAAGAAGCACGCATTAAATTAATTCTCGAACGATGACCGAACAGTTTAGCAGACCGAACAGTATGATCTAAATGGACTTCATGCGTACAGGATTCCCGATTGTTAAGATAGACAGAACTAGGAATATCACACCACAATTCTTCCCTGTTAGAAAATACAAAATCAGCCTACTCGACTATCCGGATAGGCGAGGGGATCGCGAAAAATTTGAAGCATTATCTCGTAGTAGTCGATGACATCAACAAAGCGGTCGCGTACTATCGATGTGATTCAGGAAGCTACTATCAACCACCCAAGAACTACGCTAAGTCGACAGGACTGGACCTTCGAGGGCATGAGACGGTTGTCTAGCCAGGTTGAGTCAACACTGTCAACTGCGCCAGGCTACCGAATACTCCGTCAAAAAGCAACCTCTTAACAGGAACAACGGAAACGATTACTGGATTGACACGGTCATCAGTGCGCAAGCTGCAAAAAATGTGTGACTAAGCAAAACAATGGCAGGCGGTCATTCGGGGAACGATTGCCCGCCAAACCCATACTATGCGCTGAATCTGGCAAAGTTATTCACGACACAAGAAAGACTTTCTCGATGTATGGAACACTACACAACTCCGCAATCACACGCATTACCATGCGTCTCTATCGACCAGTGAGTCCCGTACTTCGCCGTATGAAGTAGACTGTGGTCCCCAAACGGACGAACCGAAATCATTGATCGACCGAAAACCCGTAAAGCCTCAAGTGGATATGGTATCCCTGTATAGATCTACGAAGTGTGCATTACCACTATCCTATTCAGCCTGGGACAGCGATGCGTTTCTATCCAACTGGAAAACCTCTACATTTCTTCCATTTCTGGAAACTGCCGTGGTATAGGCTTATTGGATGTACCTTCTAAAATATTTGGTATCCCACTTATAAAGTCCTTCAAGCGGTAAATATTAATGCCCGGGAAAAGATCGCACAGAGCAAACTGTCTCCGCACTCCTTGCCCTAGAACAACGGCAGCCAACTATTACCCGCTTCATCGACTTCACGACAGCGTTAAACTATGCGAACTAAGCACTGAAGTTGGGCGCCATCCTGACAAGCAAATCAGGTTGCCGAGTCTCGCTGAACGGCCAAGAGCGCACGCACTCTTATGCACGACGAACAGACGCCAACCCATCTAAGGTTTGACAGGGCTACCCACTGTGCCCTACACTATTCAATTTTGCGGTTGATTGGATAATGCGCCAAGCTACCAGTGGACACCATGAGGTGGAGGTTGGACAGAATTTACTGACCACAGACCTTGAATTCTCGGACGGCATAGCTATCTCCGCTGAAGATCACCACAGCCTACAGCAAGTTCTCAACAGAACCCTCCAGTGTGTTTCCTCCGTCGGCCTCCGAAACCAGGTTTTTCCCATCAGTACTGAAAGTGGACGGACTCTTTAGGATAAAACGAGTGACGCCAGAGAATGAGAGTTTGGGTCATCATCACTATTATCAGATACCTTGGCTAAACTACATTTCCGAAGGGTGAAGTCACAACGAGCTTAAATAATACTCACACAGCATTCCTACAAACGAGTGCACAACTGTACAGAAAATAAATTATTTTGAAGAATAAGCTCTGAATTTATGAGCCTTCCGTCCGATCTATTTTCGTTTATGCTTATGTAAGCTGGACGATGCAAGACGGGGATTTCCGACCGATATTTTTTGGAGAACACAGTATGTCTTCGAGACCGTCCAATCAACAGACAGTCGTCAATGCTCCGGCATCGCTAAATTCGAGCGGAAATTCAGTAACATCGACTCTTGTGGTTTGGAAACTTTCTTCAGCACTCATACGGACACTAGAACGATGTTCGTTCCCAAAATATGCCATAAATGGTGGTGTGTTCGAATTAGTCACCGGTAAACCTGAGTTGACACAATTAAGACTGATGATAAACGTCTGAGTCTCAGGATGAATACGGTTCACGCCAATAGAACCAACACCGGATCGACATCTGCAACAGCCCTGCCGGCGACCACCATACTTGAGTAGCTGAGATTTTAGACATTGTAGAAACGACTCGTCCTCCCGCGTCATGAGAACTGAGCTGATGTCAAGGTTGTTTCCCATCGTTGTCCCCCCACTCCTGATCACTGAAACTCTCCCGATGCACTCCATCCAACTGGGAAACGTCGTTTTTTATACGATTTTATATGGCTTGTAAGCGAAACTTCACAACTGCTTTCAAAAAGTGAACTATAGGACGCTGTCCTACGATAGTTCATGTTTGGTCTTTTGGGGTTGGGGATGGTAGTGATAACTCCCACTAAACTTCATGCTGTCCTCTCAGAGTTTTTGTTAACATACGCCAACAAGCTGTTCCTCCAGGTATTAAAATGATTAGGGTGCGGATGAACTGTTGATTCGTTCTTTAGCGATCAACATTCTCAAGCCCACAACCTGAAGCTTTTAAAGGGGCTGGACGGAGCTGAAAACTTTGAAGCAAGAGTGTCTATCTGGAAAATGTGAACAAGGGAACATTTCATCCTATTTGGAGTAGTGTGTGCTTGGGTGATCGTGGAAGAATAAGGTGATGTCGTCTTCATGATCCAAGTCCAGTAATCCTTCTCCAGGTACCTTTCTAATCCTAGACTTCCGGAATCTAGGTGTGTATTTCATCAACAAAACAGAAATGATTGCAGAAGATGATCTCGGTGAACCCAATCAACTGTGAGGAAACTGACTGACAGTTCACTGTAAACCTTAACAGAGCGTTTGAGTGAAGAGCACAGAGTACACTGACAAACCTCGAAAGCATTCCTCCCAATCCGACCGCCCTTAGAAGTGCTAGTTACGGAGTCCAACACCCCTTTGAAATCGAGCAGTGGTGCGAGATGGCTCAGTGGTTAGAGCGCGGAGGCCCGTGGTTCGAACCCGAACTCTGCCTCTCAACTTCCCCCTTGTCTACGCTTGGGTGACCTGGCAGTATCCCACCCGTCGTGCTTCCTTTGGGTGGCATAGCAGCTAGGCACCAAAAGGGCGTTACAGCTCAGCAATTCACGTGGCACTGACCAAACGTTCGAAGTAACATAGAGATGCGATTAACGCACCCCTCTCTCCGACGTCCACGGATTTGTACCTCGTGTTAGTTACCCCTTAAAGCCTACGTAAGCGCCCGTAGACGTGGAATTAACCACTCAACCGCACACCAACGACGCCTCCTGGCATGCTGACGAACCTAATGCAAGCCAATTACGGGGCAAAACGAACAGATCAAGTGACAGCTAACCGAAAGGTCATAAACCCGCCAATACTGACGTATTGCCAAACGCAATGGCAGGCACTAGGGTTCTACTATTGTAGGTCCGTATGCATTAAGTAGCGATGATGAATCCGCGTTTTCCTCACTACATGCTGCACTCAGCTGTTACTTTCTCGCAAGCTGGTTTGCTCAGTATTACAAGTGTTAAGGAACCAGTAGTCTTGAATTGAAATTAATTCTGAGTGATTAATATAATGTTGCCTTTTACAACGGTTTCCTTTCTGGACACATTTTTCAGAGTTCGAGTATGTAGCCCATGCAGCAAGCTCAACGAGCAAGCGATACTCCTAGTTAGGGCTGCTCCATTTTGACTTTGTGATTTTCGGCTTGAGATAATACTTTTTGCGAGACTTTCTCCTTCCTTTCCTTCGAAATAAACTCAAAAACACAAAATTTATGTTCTCGTTTCCTCCTATATCAGGAAGAACCAGGCATGGAATTTTTCACAAAAGTGCCCTTGGTCTCAAAACACTATTTTCAACTACACGGACCTTAAATAATAAGCTTGTTCCTCAAAAATAGACTTTACTCCCTGAATACTACACGCTGGAAACCCGTCGCTCGCAATCAAGGAGGGGGAAAAATCCATTTGGATAACATACTAGGCGATGGAAACCATCCAATTTTGTTGACAGCAAAACAGTGAGGCTTAAATATTAACTAGGTAACACATCCTTTCCGGTACTGCACGACAATACAATAATGCTTACCCTGAATTTTCGGGTATGAATACTCAATACTCGGCATTTTGATAAATAAAAGTTAACTGCCAGTTGGTTCTTAATAACCAGGATAGTAAATATGCAGTCCTTCGGCAAGAGGCCATCCCGATTGAATTGATGCTATTTAGCTCCAGTCCAGTGGAGGTAATTTCGAAACTGAAACCTTTCGAGGGACCAACCACAGACTGGAATGTGAAACCGGTACACACACACCGTTCGCAAGTCTGGACAGCGGCTAGAAAACGTTGTTCCTCGTTGTGATTGGGGTCCGCATAATACGAATTTCATCGACATAACATACAAACACCACAAGTACGTCTCTCGGTAAAGGCTAACTTCCAGGTGAGACAACATGCGGTTGGCTAGATCCCTCCTAAAAGAGGCCGAGTGTCAAAGCAGACCACTTTTGCGAGACTCTGTACGCGAGCTTCATGGAGGAAAAAGCTTACTGATAATTTGTTGTTATAGAATAAAACTGGGAAGATCGGCGGTTTCTTCGCTGCGTCATCATCATCATCATCATCGACAGCATGACATCAGTGTTCAACACCGATGCTTCACTGCCGTACAACTATGATTTATTTGAAATCCTTATCGTAAAGAAAAGAGTAAAGGTGGACGGGGAAGGGACTTAGTGCTAGCTTAACACAATCATTCCCACAATCATTTCACACTCTGTCTATAGAATTTTGTCGCAAATGATCAAGCTGCTTGACGTATTTTTGGAAGAACCACTCTCCGCGTATACATGTTGAAACAGAACATCTGCTGCTTCAGTAATTCTCTATACTTGCGAGTATCGGTGTCTAGTGCCGGCGAACTCAATCCCACCCATGGCTCGACCACTCTAACAATAACAGGCGCTGGGGAATTTTGTTTAAGCTAAAACCAAGCAACACTGTTCTCTGAGGAGTGCACGGAATAAGTTTCCCCAATGAAGTCACCGGTAGTTCCAGATTACAACTTGTAGATGAGATTTTGTATTTCAATTGCAAATCTGAGCTCTGTTGGGATGCCTACGCTATATCCGTGTTAAAAGCCATGACCTTTGGAAGCATTGCTATATCTGGATGCAAACTATGGTGAACCATCCCATCTCTAAAAACAGAACCGCCGATCCAAAAACGCTGAACCACTAACGTGATCAATGTTGACGGGTAGGCATTAATTCACCGTTTTTGAGTACACATAGCAAAAAAAGAATACAACACCAGCTATTAAGCTATTAAGTTACCAGAACAGAAATAGCTTGGGACAATCTAAACACAGAGACAGAAGTGCGAACAGGTACAGTGAAACCGGTACGTACATTGGAACCCCTGAACTCTCCCTCCGAAATGTCAGTATCTGGAGAAATATTTGCAGCCGCATTCACAGGACTTCTAGCTGAGCATGACAGGTGAAGTTGAAACATACCTTTTCCAACTGAAGATAGCTTTCTTCTCAGCATCGGGCGAAAAATTCGGTAATTGAATGTTCCTCCCTGAAATGTTAACCACAAGTGAACGCTGAAGCTAACCAGATATTTGCACAGCATTCGTTGTGAGCTCCTGACCAGCTTGTGCCAAAGCAACTAACCTAAGCATCGTGAAAAATTGATTTCGCCCCAGAAAGCCCCCATGGCCGGCGCCCAATATGTTCAAAATCCTTCTGGTCGTCATCTGGGAGAGACCAGCTTTGTTAAGAAGTGAAGTGCAAGTCTTCATTGGTATTTTTCCTATCTTTTCCACATCACAGGAATCAAAAATGTCGAAATAAAAGCCTATCTCCTGTTCGGTGAGCCGAAGCCTGTCCATCGTCCTGTCGTTAATGACCTTCACCATTGAGTTTCGCGGGTACCCATTGAGTTAGTGAGTGTGGATTTAATAGGTTTTACAAGATCACAGTGAATAGACATGAGCAATAAGCCAGAGGCTCGTGAGATGAAATCGGAAAGTGCTCTATACTGCTCATGCTCATGCTCATGACTAAAAGTAGGGTGAACGTCTGCCCGTAACCGACTGCTGGGGGTATGAGTGGAATATCTGTAATTAGTTAGATATGGTATTGAAAAAGAATAAACCCCACCCGCTTAAGTAGCTACTTAAGAAGCAGTCATGGGAAATTTAAGACGTTTTAGGCCGATCTACGATGATGTTCTTAGTGTGGGGCTTCACACACGTTGGATCAGTGGAGTATGAAAAAACGGAGAAAAGTTGACCGCTCAATCAGAAGAATAACGATTTAATCCTGTAGTCAGAGTGATCCAGTGACTTGCTTGTTGGCACACCGAAGAGAAACATTTCCCTTGACTCTTTAAGTTTAGAGGGTTAGATGTTTTCAGCTGTGACATCTGCCATCCCTCAAATAATTCATGCGTGGTACAGAATTATTACCATCCAAGACGCACAGAAGACGGCCATCAGCTGTGATAAGATCCGGCTGTGATAACCGTTGAAACTAAGGTGACTAGCCGGCTAATATCTTTCAATGAAGAATGCTGCCACCCGAAAGTTCGTGCTGTTACCATGTGAAGACACCATTGGCGTCGTCCTCCGTTGCCATGGGGTGAAACGTAAGAAAAAGCGGCTGAAGCACTTAATAGAAAACCCTGCACTCAGTCATCACAAGGATACGAATTCTTAAAAGGGTCGGGTTTTATGTCGCATCCATTATGATCCCCCGTATGAGGCTGAGTCGAACACGTTGAGATCGGTATCAGTGTTTTTGCGATCTGGTATGAATTACCTGATTGCCGTGCCCGAATAGCAGTCTGCCATATACTATACATCTTGCATTCCCTGGAGGTCGGCATAGGAGAGGGTCGCCTTCTCTCCTACCTTTACGTTTGGGCCTTGTGAAGAGGAAGGAGGACCTACTGGAATACACCCATATGCCAAATCTGTATTCGTCTTAGGCTTGTTGGCTTTAGATGCCCAGGACCCGAAAGTATTGGCCACCCAACATTGCCACCCACCATTTCGGAATAAACAATAACACAAGAATTGTATACACCATAATATCCTGCCAATCGCCAAGTTGTAGATGACTAGTTCCTTGACAGAACTCCGACACAGTGCAAAACTTGCATCGATTTTGGACTGGAAATTTTGGCGCGACGGATCGGGAAACATTTTAAATACGGTATTTTTCGAGTTTTTGGAGTGTTAGGATTTAATAAATATTGAGGGAATGAGAAATATTGAACCTTTAATGAGATATTCGTCTTTGCTCTTCTTCCGTGTTTGTGTGCACACCCGATCCGCCAGCGATCAGCGTGGACAACTGGATGTACGAGGGATTTTCCGGATGGCTGTAGTCATGTTTGTGGCTTTGGGTGTCGGGGTACTGGGCGACAGTTGGGTCCACAAGTTAGTGTGGGTGGATTTAATAGGTTTTACAAGATCACAGTGAATAGACATGAGCAATAAGCCAGAGGCTCGTGAGATGAAATCGGAAAGCTATACTGCTAAGTTAGTGAGTGTGGATTTAATAGGTTTTACAAGATCACAGTGAATAGACATGAGCAATAAGCCAGAGGCTCGTGAGATGAAATCGGAAAGTGCTCTATACTGCTCATGCTCATGCTCATGACTAAAAGTAGGGTGAACGTCTGCCCGTAACCGACTGCTGGGGGTATGAGTGGAATATCTGTAATTAGTTAGATATGGTATTGAAAAAGAATAAACCCCACCCGCTTAAGTAGCTACTTAAGAAGCAGTCATGGGAAATTTAAGACGTTTTAGGCCGATCTACGATGATGTTCTTAGTGTGGGGCTTCACACACGTTGGATCAGTGGAGTATGAAAAAACGGAGAAAAGTTGACCGCTCAATCAGAAGAATAACGATTTAATCCTGTAGTCAGAGTGATCCAGTGACTTGCTTGTTGGCACACCGAAGAGAAACATTTCCCTTGACTCTTTAAGTTTAGAGGGTTAGATGTTTTCAGCTGTGACATCTGCCATCCCTCAAATAATTCATGCGTGGTACAGAATTATTACCATCCAAGACGCACAGAAGACGGCCATCAGCTGTGATAAGATCCGGCTGTGATAACCGTTGAAACTAAGGTGACTAGCCGGCTAATATCTTTCAATGAAGAATGCTGCCACCCGAAAGTTCGTGCTGTTACCATGTGAAGACACCATTGGCGTCGTCCTCCGTTGCCATGGGGTGAAACGTAAGAAAAAGCGGCTGAAGCACTTAATAGAAAACCCTGCACTCAGTCATCACAAGGATACGAATTCTTAAAAGGGTCGGGTTTTATGTCGCATCCATTATGATCCCCCGTATGAGGCTGAGTCGAACACGTTGAGATCGGTATCAGTGTTTTTGCGATCTGGTATGAATTACCTGATTGCCGTGCCCGAATAGCAGTCTGTCATATACTATACATCTTGCATTCCCTGGAGGTCGGCATAGGAGAGGGTCGCCTTCTCTCCTACCTTTACGTTTGGGCCTTGTGAAGAGGAAGGAGGACCTACTGGAATACACCCATATGCCAAATCTGTATTCGTCTTAGGCTTGTTGGCTTTAGATGCCCAGGACCCGAAAGTATTGGCCACCCAACATTGCCACCCACCATTTCGGAATAAACAATAACACAAGAATTGTATACACCATAATATCCTGCCAATCGCCAAGTTGTAGATGACTAGTTCCTTGACAGAACTCCGACACAGTGCAAAACTTGCATCGATTTTGGACTGGAAATTTTGGCGCGACGGATCGGGAAACATTTTAAATACGGTATTTTTCGAGTTTTTGGAGTGTTAGGATTTAATAAATATTGAGGGAATGAGAAATATTGAACCTTTAATGAGATATTCGTCTTTACTTACGTGAAACCGTTCGTCAGAGTACGGGTGTTCATAGAGCAACACAGGGGGATTTTAAGCTGTTGTTACCCAATCGTTCAGTGAGGTTTGTTTAAGAAAATATTCAATAAACTGTCACATTATCCTGTTGCAATGATCGTCTCAGACAGCATACTTTCAAAAGTCGCTGAATTTGTTTTGGTGATATTGGGTTACCCACCAAAAACCAAGAATCTCGCTTAGTGAACAATAAGCCAAGGTCAAAACTTCCTTTTCAAGGGACATTGGAGATTTTTCAGTGTGTAATAGACCTGGGTTTCAGCAGCTTGGATAGACAGGGCTGACGCACCGTTAAATAGAGTTGAACTTCTTCGCATACGCACATCGCTAGTAAGATGCACAGGATTTATGGCAGTATGAAAAATGAGGATGTGGTTGTCAGGAGAGAAGTTACTGATGGCAGACAACTGATCTTAATCCGACACAGAGACTGCAGGAACAATCTTTGGCCAAACAGCACAACGAACTTGTTGCCGCGCTCAATGTGGACCAAGGAATCAAGAAGCCAGTCACAGAGAGTAACAAGGGCGTAAAAAAACCCCGACAGACCGGGCCGGAGAAACCCTAACGGAGTTATTCGCGTCTGTTGCTTTGGAGACTCGGGTCATGCTTGTGAAAATCAGAAACTATCTATGTGGTAAGTCAGTCACGAGAAAATAAACGGAAATTAAGGCGAGATAGCTATTCGCGGGGTGGGATGAAACGTTAGTCGTAACCTGTTGCAGGCGAGCTAAGATTCTTCACTTTGCCACAGGACAGTATGGCGATTTTACGGGTTAATTAGCAAGGCGAAGACGTGCAACTGTTTTTTTGCACAGTGGAGCAAATCAAATCAGCTTTCTCCGTCTAGGGCTGAGTTGCACCTGAAAACGTTTATGAAACGGGCTTTATTGGGAACTCTGAGAAAATCATACCGCCGTTTATTCGCTGCATGTTTAGGTCAGTGCACATAGGCCAGGTGGATTAAATGCACAGATTGAAGGGAATGTAAAACAATGGTAACAAGATGTCCTATGCAAAAAAGAAACGTTCATGAGGAAGACGTGTCCCATCCTCACCCATGGCGTCAAAATTCTTTTATGCAGACTGAGATACCTTGTACCTCAAGATTCATGAAATGTGGTTTCGAGGGCACCGCGTTTTACTATGAAAACGAGGGGTGCCACCACCGCTGGTGACTGTATCCCACTAACTTTTGGGAGGCAAAGTAAGGCCGCAGGGAAGACTTAGAATTTGTCGAGCGTAACTATGCGATTTCCCGGCCGATCTCAGCGGGGGACGACTTGAGGTTGTCTTAAGGTTCCAAATGGAGTTTTTCTTACCTTCAACTTCTCTCGGAAAATCTCCCACCTCAAAAAGACTAGCTGGATAGGAGGACATTCCAACCTTGTAAAATTCCTCGTAAATCCACGCTTCGTTTTTAAGCAGCTTCTCCTTTTCAAGCTAGGTAAGCTAGGCCTGCGCACAGGCAAAATCGCTCGAGATGATGGGACAACCTCCATGTCCCTATTGTCTATGTATGTCTGAAGAAAGCGAAAGAAAACATCTCCTGTAGGTTCCGCCGCTTCGTCTGCGCCGGGTATGAAAGACACGATGCATTGTATCGCCTGACCTTTCGTGGGTGATGCAGCTTGCCCACAAGGACAGGGACAATAACAAAAGGATAGTCTCTTGCGTGATAGTTTACCAATATTGGAAGGATAAATGACCTGAGATTGTACTTTCTTATCCATCGTTTCAGAGGCTCCTCTTTTCTTTAATTCTCTTGGAATTTCCTGGCCTATGCGGAAATTTTATGGCTGGTTCCAAGCACTGCAATCGCTGTCGGCTTGCTGTAAGTTCATGTGACGTATGCCCGCTCTCCGGCCCCTCCTCAGCGCAACAGCTTCAGTTTCCCGAAAAGAAAGTTTCCGGTCGTTTAAGGACAGCACAGATTTTGAGCAAACTTTTATGGGCTTTTCCCGAG